TTACAAGTAGGACTTTGAAAATCTAACTCTGAAAGTATAGTGCGAAGAACAAAAGGGGCTTGCTCAACGAACTTGTTAGGATTTACAGTGACAGTTTAGCACACCAGGCAAAGGGATCCACACATTTCAAAAGAAAATGACCAACAACTAACTTGTCAAGGATAAATTTGTAACATTAAAGTTGATTCATTACTCACAATAACTATAAAAAAATTCCTTTCCAGAGACTATCTTATTGAAAACGAGCAAAATTAGAAGTTTTTACTCAATGAGACAAATTAGAGGATCACTGCTATTACAAAAGAACGTCACAGGTGAGGATCACCAAAACAAATTTGGAACTATATTATTGAAAAAAACTATTTTAGTGTCCCTCTTAGCACCATAGTATAATTTGGATTTTCAAAATTTAAAAAAATCGGATCAGCTTAACTCAACTTGAGGCCTCAGCATCTTGAACTGGTAAAATAACAAATATTACCCCTCACCTTGACGACTGTGTCCTATCGAACCTAAGTTTTAAACTAGGCTTTGACTAGTGTTTTCTTTATGTTGACGACTGGAAATTCTGAACATGCTTCTGAGAAATTTTTAAATTCATACTGAAACCGTTTTTAGTGGTGCACATTTACAGCTAGTACCTCACAAATCAATTTTACAATTGTCCCTCTTCCATCAACTAAGTTCTCTTCAGCTCAATCTTTTCCTCCGTACTGTAGTCCACATTCAAAAGCTGAAAGGTGACGAAGACGAACATGTTAAGAAAGGAAACAATTTAACTGGGTTAGGATATCAATAGTTGATAGAGTAGAAGGAATATGCGTGTCCGTAATCAGTTTAACCAGAGAGTTTTTACTAAATTAATTTAACTCCTCTGTGTGTTGCGTGTTGTTTTTCTTCAACGGTATAGCGCGATACAACAAACTGAAATCAATGCTTGTGATCCCCTAGGTAGTTTGCGCACATTGCGTTGAGCTAAGTTAAGGGAGCTCATGTAGTATGGGATTATATGGAGATATTTCGGAACTCGATTCCGTATCGAGTTCAAATCTTCTAGATGAGAAATTAATTTTTGTAAGACTTCGTGTGGCAGCCCCATACTTCATGATGCATACAGTTGTTGGATAAAGAAAACAATGTCATGCCTTTGGAACTTTAGAAACTCTTTTGGGAGGTCAGTTTACATCGTCAATTTAGATGATAAAACAAAATTATTTTGTTTGAGAGAAGTATAGGGTTATAAGGAAATTCTCCCCTTTGTCCTACCAAACTGCTGTTTTTGACGACGTACTTATACTTTTATGGAGAAATTTGATGTTGATCATCTTGTAGGTTAATGTATTACACAACTTTGAGTCTTTACCAAGACGATGGTTTTCACACTAGGCCACCTCAATCATGATGCATTGGAAACAGCTCCTTATAACCTCAAACTATTTTAAAACAAAACCTTAGTCCCAAGACAATCTATTGCTTTCGCCGTTGTTTTCTTTATCCAAGAATTGTATGCATAATGAAACATCGGCTGTGTAAAACTGTTCTTTTTGAAACGCTTTTCAGAATCTGTCAAAAATGATTTTCAATAATATATTTTCCCATCGCAAAATATTTTTCCTTTATATACAAACGATAAGGAGACCTACTTGAAATTTTTCGGTGAAGAAAACGTTAACTTAATAAGATGTAAAATTGTTTCTCCGTGGTGCACACGCGCCAAAAAGTTTCCTGACATTCCGATCATTTTTTGTTGGCGACATAGTTCCACATCAAAATGCGCGTGGAAAATAATTTGCACATTGTCTAATTTCAAATTAACAATGGACTTCTTTCTCAAATGGTAGAATTTACCAAGGGTCATCACGGTAGCGGTAGCTAAAACTGGCAAAACAATTTGGTAGCCTGACTGATAAGTATAGGTAATAACATGATTTTGAGTGCAGTTTGTTGTTAATAAGCACGAGTAAATTTGTCAAAGACAACACGTTTATTTTATACATCTTTAACGCTTCGTCGGCGAAAGAAGGCTTTCAGATTTTCGTTTCAAAGCGAGCTCTCATTCGGGTTAGAATTTACCGTCAGGCGAAGAATTTCTCTCAACCCCTTAGCAGATTCGCATAATTAATAGATAAATTTGTTCCCGAAACTGTTCATTGGCAATTTGTATGGCATTAACCTACTTGTAAATGAAAATTTTAAGGCATTTGACCCATAATGCAGGATTCATAGCTCAGCGTACAGCACCTTATTTACAAGTTGAACTTTCTCTTACTCTTACCTGTAGCTCTGTTGAGAAAAAAACTTTAAAACTATGCAGCGAGCTGCAACTAGCAGCTTGGTCCATGTCAAGTTTGCAAACACCAGCAGTTTCGCGACTATTCCAGGCAACGGCATAAACGTTAAAATCGATAAGCCGGCGAGTGAATTATTCCTTCAAGTAGAGAAACAGCTCATACCACGTGAAACCGTAAAACGTTAATGAGATGAGAAACACGTGCAAATTAGGACTCGAAAAAAAAACCTCAGAACGAGGGTGGTGTGAATTTCCATGGCGAGGCTTCATTATTTCAAAAGCTTTCATATTTAATAATAGATACATTCTGTATCTTTTTAGCATACACTTTGGAGGGAGAGTTATTTTCAGAAGGGCGACGGATGACGGGCGCAAAAGTATCGTGAAAGAAAGAGATTTGGCAAGAATAAGAGAAAAACAAATGGAGTAGGTGGAGAGGTATCTTAGTGAAAACCGCAGCGATTGACGGGTAACAGAACAGCTAACAAGAATGAAACTAGGTATCTGCCGACAAAAATAATATAGACGATCACACTTCTTTGCCAGCTGTTTCTCCTAGTCTGGTCCAAGCCAGGGGAACGCAATCATACATAATGAAAAGTAAAGCAGGGATAGTCTGTCGAAGCCGTGGAACAAACCGTGTGTAAGGGGAGGGCGGAAAGATTTATTTGAGCAGGCACAATCATTTAAATCTCTTACCTTTGCTTTGTGTAACAGTCATGGGATCAATATCAGTATCTGGGCAACTACCCACCTACCCCTCCCCTAACCCAACATTAACCCTAACTTGTCATCAATTGACTGTTATTGGGTTAGGGGAGGGGTAGGTGGGCAGTTGCCCAGATACTGATATTGATCCCAGTCATGTAGGCTTGTCTGTCAACGAAGCGTAAAGCGGGTGGGGATAGCTTTTTTCCGGCTCTTCTTCCACCTAGAGCTAAAGGATGATCCAAGAGAAAATAGTTCTCCACGCAAACTAACTGAGTTACTTGCAGAGAATTTCGTATCGTAACAATGTAACATTCTCTACTTAAACCTCTACATTCCTCACCTCAGTATGCATATTCTCCACACTGTTAATAACATTTGTTATTGGAACCTAATGCGTGATTCAGCTGTGATATTATAAGGAGGAAATAGATACCACTCAATTTGGGGATTAAAAGGTTAACAGGTCTTTTTCACTCTCATTATCTTGTATATAGAATAGGGAAGATGGTAAGTTTGAGGTAGGTAAAGAAGTAGGAGATGTTTTTTACATCTTGTCACGAGCTTGGGATAAAGAAAAAATTCTGATTCCCCATTCCGTCATGGGGACTCAGAACTTATTGTTTGTTCTACGCTCATGACTAGACGTAAAAAACATCCTATATTTCTTTACCAGGCTCAAACTTACCATCTTCCTCATCTTTATCTTTCTCATCAACTGTTTACCACGAGACAAGTTACAACAAATTTTTCACCCTTTGACTGCATAGATCCGATTAGTAATTCTCCCTTGCAGCAGTTTTACATTTCGTTGTAAATCAATGAGGAGAATTTGTTACTGTATCAAGATAACGTCTTGACAGGGTTTATTGTTCACATGTTTCTGGGTTACGTCTAGGAATGTAAGTTACCGCTTTTGCTCATCTCAGGTTTCCATAGCAGCAAAAAAGCATGTCTATCCCTCCTGGGTGGGGTGACAGAACATCACAGCTTAACCTCCCTCCCCCCTCACAGCATTCTGGCCGATTTTCCTGACAGTTAACATGTTCCCACTTCCCAGGGAATTTGTAAGGGGAAAAAAATGGTCATTTGCTTCATCTGAGCGGTCGAGACTTGCCTCTGTGTTTATACTGTCTCTGTTCAAAGGGTACTCTCTTAACCGTTTCACTCCCATGAGTGACCAAGACAGAATTTCTCCTTACAACATTTGTACAATATCAAGCACACAAGTGATGAGAGTAAAGAAAAATATCAGGGGATTATAAGGTGATCCAATACCAAATTCTCCTAACAAACATCACAAGAACTGTCTAGCAGACAGTTAGGAGAATTACTAATGAGATCTTGGGAGTTAAAGGGTTAAGATTTCTCCCTGTAACTCCCATGAGTTACCATGACAGAATGTCTCCTTACAATATCATCCAGTTGAGTGATGAGAAAAAAGAAAATTATCAATTAAGGGATTAAGAGTTGATCCAATATGAAATTTCCCACACAAACATCACAAGAATTGTAAGACAGTCAGTAAAGAGATTTCCTCATTAGATCTTGGGAGTGACAGGATTAAGGTAACAGTACGTTTCCCAGATAAAGGATGATTTTGAGAGAAAACCTATCACTTTAAGGTTAATGCTTGATTGGATTTCAAATCATCAGCAGATGAAAATTGAATTTCATAACCCTTTAACTCTCATGAGTGACCAAGACAGAATTTCTCCTCACAATATCAATAAGATATCAACCAGATAAGTAATGAGAACAAAGAAAAGTATCAATTTGGGGATAATTAGTTGATCCAATACTTAATTCTTTGAACTAACATTATAAGAATTAGATGGTTAACATTAAGGAGATTTACAAATTTGATCTGGGAGTTAAAGGGTTACATATGAAAAAAAAAAAAATAATCTGTGAGAGAGAGAGAGAAGTTTGATAATGCGATCTTAGGAAATAAAGGGTTTATGACCTCACTAAACACCCAACAAATAGTTACGAAACAGTATCAAAATAACAAGTTTTATTATTTTTACTGCTCAAACTGAAAAGCTTGTCACCATTCATGAATTATAGCCTTAAAATCAACATCTTAATACATTGCATATCACATACACAAATCAAATTGGACTCTTAAAATAATCCTGATCTCTCACAGATTTCAAAGCTTGAGCTGCAAGAGATTTGGAAATAGCTAATTATTTCACCATGAGTGGAATCTTTCAGCATTTATCAGAATTGTGGACCTGACTTTTATGTCCAGTGAAATGGTTTGAAATATCAGTAAAAAATATGTGATTACTGTCATAAAGCTGGTACTATTTGCAGATACAATTTCAAACCTTTCAAGCCTGAGAGGAAGAACATCAAACAGATACAAAAATTATTCTACAAAATTGATCCTAATCGTTTTCATAACAGTTTTTATCCTGCTACAGATGAAAGAGTTAGCAAATTTAGAGAAAACCACTCATACATATGATAAAATTAATGTTGTCTTTATCTGATGAACTCAACAGAACCCTGGTATAACATGACTGCATGGCAATCAAGCTTAGCTGTTTTACATCAAGATCAGTTTGATTAAAAATTTTTGGCCATCCTACTGTACAACCAGAACAGTAAAGCAGTGTGCCATGTAATCATGTCACACAAAGGCCACAATTGTGATAAAACACAATTAGCCACTAGGATTCATTCACTTCAACTAGAGTGGCAAGTTTCTTTTATACACTTGTCAAATAATAAACATTTCATGTCACCACAGGGCTATGCATCCTTAGTTACAGCAGCAGAGCCACCTTACAGGAATTGAATACAAGGATGCCTAATCTCACCACTGGAAATATGCCACACGTGTTGAGCAACTGTGCATGGTTTTTAACAAATTTTATACTAATAATAATTCAAGTTAATAACAATAACTACAGAAGCATTCTTTCTGCTCCAGAAAGAAATTTTCTCTCATCAGATTGTCTATCCAAAGAGGATGGGAAATGTTTCAACAAGTTAGTATTGAAGCAAAGTTTGGGCAAGGAGATTTCATTTTACAATATACTGCACAGACCCTTCTTTCTCCTCTTTTTCTTTGTCTCCAGTGCAGCTTTTGTAGCCATCTTAAACACATCTCTAACACCTTCCTTAGTCTTGGCAGAGCATTCCAAATAGGCAAAACCACTGATTTTTTCACAAATTGCTGCCCCCTCTTCACTTTTGACTGGCTCTTGTTTCATCTTGTCTAATTCTCTCTTTGTAGCATCATCATTTCTCAGATCTTTCTTGTTACCAACCAAAATGATTGGTACATTTGGGCAGAAGTGCCTTACTTCAGGAGTCCATTTTTCAGGGATATTCTCTAAACTGTCAGGACTATCAATGGAGAAGCACATCAGGATAACATCAGTGTCGGGATAAGACAGAGGTCGTAGCCTATCGTAGTCTTCTTGTCCTGCTGTATCCCATAATGCTAATTCTACTGTCTTGCCCTCAACTTCGATGTCGGCGACATAATTTTCAAAAACTGTTGGCACATACACTTCTGGGAACTGATCTTTGGAAAATACAATGAGGAGGCAAGTTTTTCCACAAGCACCATCACCCACAATAACCAACTTCTTCCTAATGGCTGTCATGACTACTCCTCAAACTGTAGAGAAAAAAAGTTGTATTCTGTAAATCACTGTTCCTCTTTCAAGAGAAAATTGGAGAAAGGTATAGACAGTCTCTGTAAAAAAGTACTAGTTGGCAAATTTGATACCTCCCACCCCTAAGAAACATTGACCAATGAATTAAGAGTAACAAGTTACCACTGATTACTGAGCTTCACTGAGAGCCAAAATGAGGACAACCATAGTTAAGAATTTGGCTTAACATCACAGATTCACATAGTCCATATAAATTTAGGGCAGTGCAGCATACATGTTGCTTTCCAAACTGAATTTCTTAAACCCCTGACAAAACTTATCATAAAGAAAGATATGATTTTCATTTCTCAACATTACAAACAATTTTCCAAGCAAAAAGTGACTAAAACAGAAATTTTAGTGAGTGGTTAAAATAAGTCACAGCCTCTGATTTCCACTGCTTCTTTCTCTGCTTTTTGCAAATTTCAATCGGGTTTTGTTCAATGCTAATATGCTGCTAAGTACACAGAAAATCATTTAATTTCTGGTGTAATAACCTCAGCAGTACTTCTGTGGGGTAGAATTCATGGTGCTGATTGTACTGCAATGATTTGATTTAAGGCCCTTGTTCCATTAAATGCCTTCTTTTAAGGAAGCACTTCCCTCAATTTTATTTTCGTTTTGCACCCCTATCCTAATGGACACCTGTATCACAGCTGGGGTCACAGTAACCCTACATGTATGTTAGATAACACAGACTGAAATCAACTATGGTTTATCTTTCTTTACTTGTTCATTACAACCCCTTCCTAAATCATCATCAAAGTTTTGTTTTGCACTTTCTACTGTTTCCCCTAAAAGAAACAAGCACCCTGTCCCTACTTAGCACAGTCCCTCGAAGTACCACAAGTAAATAAGCACCCTGTGCACAAAATCAAATCATCACAGTAAATACAAGATGGGCACTGGAAGTTGTTAAATAAGATTTGGATTACTTATATTTCAAATCCCTTGATTAATAGAAAAATTTAAGGACAACTTAAGTCCCAAAATAAGTTTTTTTTATTTTACTTGCCAAATATTAGAGAACATCTACATTCATAAATTACAACCTTAATCAACAACAATGCAAATATTTCAACTTCTCAATTACAGATAGTGTTTCTCTTAGTCATCCCATTCCTTTAAAAGTTCTTTTGATTTTGGCCTCAAGTTTAGAGAAGCTTTGAAATTTCACAAAATACTTTTATTTAATGGGTCACTTTAACCCTTTAAACCCTAACATCAGTATGTATATTCTCCCTTCTATTCTCTAATCATTTCCTAAGGTGTTGACAAGGAGAATTTAATGATCATCAGCTTCTTTAGTTGGTGATTACTTCCTCTTTTCTTATGACCCTAATGCTACATCAGGGGTGAAAGCGAAGGGAGAAATTGAATGCTTGTCACTTTAAGGGATTAAAGGGTCTAAGTTTCCTTATTGAAAATGAAAGCATCACTTCGTCAGAAATTATCAGACAAAGGCTCTCATTGTGATACACTATTCATGACAAAACAATTTTAAGGATCTTAGAACATCAAACTAAAGGAACAAAATCACAAATATGTATTAAGTTACTGGTAACAAGTACGTATAATTCTAACTTGACATGTACTCTGAAAGACACACACAAAGTCAAACAATAAACTAGCCAGCGAAGAAAAAGTTCTTTGTACATTTTTCAATTAACTACATTTTACATCACCACCAGGGCTTTGCATTTTATTCTCCACAAATCAACTTTTACCTCATGAGAAAGAAGGAAGACATTTAATCACTTATTCTATTATCTAAAGTAGAAACAAATAAGAGGAAAATGGAGGACAGTTACACCCTTTACCTCCCAGATCCAACTAGTCATTTTCCCAACTGATAGCCACATATTTCCTAGTAGATAAGACAAGAGAGACTTGTGTTTCATCAAGATAACACCCTATAGCTGATAAGCTTATGTATTCTTGTAACTTGTTAAGAAGATAATATATCGGAATTACAAGGAAAAGTTTCATGTGAGTCACACTAGGAGCCGAAGGGTTCAGAGTTCACACACGACAAAGAAACTTTTTAAATACAATACACAGACAAACTTCCAAAATGAAAGCATGTCTCATGAGAACTTGATGGGAGCTGGAAGTGTAAGGAAAAGTTTGGAAGAAGCTGTGACAGATTTCAGTACTGCATCTGATAGGTTGGTTAGCTAGCACAAGCTCCCTTTGTCAATCTTTTGAATATGTGTGCAGAAAGGCAAAACCAAATTATGCACTTGATAAAAAAACTATTCTAACATTACGGTTCAACTAAACAAAAAATTGAGGCATATGAAGAAAGTTCTTTATCATTTTGATTTTTGTCTTGATCAACAAAAGGATGGTAAAAAAAAAAAAAACAGCAAAGCTCTGAATAACATGATCCAAACTTTATAATATACTGCATTTCCCCTTTTTCTTGCCTCCCTTTTTCTCCAATGCAGCGTGGGTGGCTGTTTTGAACACATCTCGAACGCCCTCTTTTGTTTTAGCAGAGCACTCTAGGTATGCATAGCCACCTATTTTGACACAAACTGACTCTCCTTCATCAGTTTTTACCGGCTCTTGTTTCATCTTGTTTAATTCTCTCTTTGTAGTATCATCATTTCTCAGATCTTTCTTGTTACCAACCAAAACGATTGGTACATTAGGGCAGAAGTGCCTTACTTCAGGAGTCCATTTTTCAGGGATATTCTCTAAACTGTCAGGACTATCGATGGAGAAGCACATCAGGATAACATCAGTGTCGGGATAAGACAGAGGTCGTAGCCTATCGTAGTCTTCTTGTCCTGCTGTATCCCATAATGCTAACTCTACTGTCTTGCCGTCAACTTCAATGTCAGCCACATAATTTTCAAAAACTGTTGGCACATACACTTCTGGGAACTGATCTTTGGAAAATACAATGAGGAGGCAAGTTTTTCCACAAGCACCATCACCCACAATAACCAGCTTCTTCCTGAGGGCTGTCATGGCAATTTATCAACCTGAGGAGTCAAGTTTGAGAATAAATGTAAAGTTGTTCAATATTAGCATTACAATTTTTATCTAAAATACCCATACAAAATGCTGTTAACTCAACAGAATGACAAATTTGTTTGTTGAGTGGAATTTTACGATACATTCTTTGACAAATTTATCATGGGATGATCTCAACTGTTGGATAATTTGAGTAAAGTTAAAAGTAAGCTTTAGTAAAAATTAATTGTGTGACTACTTTGAACTTGGAACATTCATTGAAAAACTCAAGGATTGATTAAGACTATAAACCAAATCCGAGCCAATACTCAATAGACAATGATAATTTGAGTAGCAAGTTAACAACTTGCTTCTTTAAAGGTAACTAAAAGACTGATTGAAATTTCTGTTACACCACAGAAAACAATAATAATTCAGTAAATAATACTTGACTAATTTATTACACATTTAAAACTGATACTTTGACAAAAGGCAGACAATACATAACATCACTAAGGTAAACAGAAAAACTTTCCACTACTTCACAAACTGTATTTCCCAACAATCTTATACAGAAGTACTTTGCTTATTTCATGACAGTGTGACTTAAAGGGCTTACAAACATTGTAGATTTGACAATGACTTATCAACTAGATTCCAATTTTCTCCATTTTCTTCAGACTTCAATGAAATCACAAAAAGACAGGAAAGACAAACCATACAATGTTTGTCTTAGAACCACATTTCAACCAAAATGAACCACTTTCTATAATCGATAAAGTTTTTTGTTCCTAGTTTTGTGGAAAACATTTAACAATTTTTAGCTGTCCTAACAAAACTTCTTGCCCCACCTACAACATAACTGGCAAGAAATAGACCTGAATAGCAGCTGATAGCATTTTTCTTGCATTTACATTATTGCAAACAATAAGCACATCTATTGCAGAGATTCAAGTAAAAAACATGCTCTTGTTCTTTCACATCTATTGTGGTATTTACTTCATAAACTGCCTATCCATTTTGTTCCAATAACCAGAAGTCTCTGAAAATAATGGTATAAACAGATTCAGCAAGTGATTTTGGCATGCTAATGTTCCAAATTTTTTTCCAATAAGTCCAAACATCTCTCTAACAAAAATGTTTTTAAAAGACTAATTTGCACCTGACACTTACATAAAAATCAAAACAAGAAGCAATGATCAAAAGTACAAAAGATATAGACACTATTAGCTGTCTATTGTTACAGATACCTGAAGTACCTAAGCACATTTTCACTTACAAAACATATTTGTGTCTGGTGTAGACAACAAAAAAATTGCTTCAGAAAAAATGCACTTTGAAATTCTGTGCAATAAAATGGTGTTCTCTCAAAAAAACATTCCCCGCAAAAAAAAAAACACAGGTGAAAGGTTACTGGGAGTGCTTGTTGAAAACCAAGGGTATGACACAAAACTATGTGCACAGCCCAGTAAACATTTTGTCAAAAAAAAGACAATAACAAGTAAACATGCTATAAGTATAGATATCACATAAAGACAATCATATCAATCTAGCTACAACACTTACCTTCTCTAAGTGCAAACGCCAACAGGACAACCTTAGCTGAGCGATGTTTACCACTGTAACTCGCAACTTGCAATACAAGCGACTAGTTCATTGTAGTTCTTTTTTACGAAACGTTTCTTGATACACTTTCTTAGTGAGGATGAAATCTTGGGAATTTTTTCGATTGGACTTGTATGGATGTAGGTACAATGCAAGCTCTCACACAAATCTTTAGCATTATAAGTCATAATTTAAACATTTTCAATTTATTTACTAAACCAATAAAATTAAATCCTTTAATTTTAACAATTTGCTTAAATTTTCCGAAGAGATACTCAGAGATATTGAGCATATCCATTTGCAATCGTGATAATCCTTACACTTACACTGTTTGATGTAAAATAGTAGACAACGCATCAGACTTGAAATAGGTAATTTTTTCCACTGAGAGATCAGAGAGTTTGCTCTTACTATCAAAATAGTTACATAACTCAACCTTGGTAAATCAGCTACAGCGGCAAATATCACGTATTTTCTAGTATTTATTAAATTCAACTCGAGTCGTGTTCGCCTACAACAGGAACTCTATATCACTACTTCATCTGAAAATGCTTTCTTTTAAAAACAACTTTATTAAGTCGTATTTTGAGACAGTTTGTTGGAGAATTGTGAATGGTTAAATTGAATTAAACGAATTTGATGATACTTGGCGAAGATGTGTCTATTAAACAATTTCACTCCTTTCAAACGCGAGGTAAGGGTGTAGCGGAAGAGCGAATAAAACGTAGCATTCATTTATAGAATCAAAAGTGGAATTCTTTTTCACCCCAAATCAAGGTATTCCTTAGTAATTCAGTAAATTCTTGTCTCACGAAATTGATCAACCCACAATACGCTCAAATGATGTTGAGTGAACATAAACCGAGTCGTTTAAAAGGAGTAAAGCTTCTCGAGGTACGAAGTTGATAAGAATAGGAGACCAAAATCGAAGAATTTTCTTTTTCAGGATAACGCAGCAACTCCAAAGGGCGAAAGGGCCGTTTCTAAAATGTGCCGGTTCGAACTTTGCAAGTTTCTGACCCCTGATCCATCGAAAGCGCCCAACAATACGATTGTAATTGTTGAAAATGTTTAACACAAATTCGTAATCTTCTCATGTCAGGTAAAATCAGGCATTTTAGCTAGTAACGGATTAAATCTGAAGAAGGTTGGTAAAGCAAATTCAAAAAACAACTGAACAGTAGCTAGAAATCGCAGCGCTGAAGCAGAACACCTTCGCAAATAGCTGTAGCAAAAACACATTTGTAACAGGCACTTTTGAATGCAAGATACGAGACGGAGCTCGCCAAAAATCGGAGGATTAGTTAGAGAAATACGTTAAGGAAACCCAGAGAGTTACAATCTTTGGGTTGATTTGCGGGCTGAATGAGGGATAGATTGGGAAATTACATCGTAAAGAATTTGCTCTCTTGGTCGGTAAGAGTCGCAGTCGCATTCGGACGAACAGAGCACACTTGACTCCATTAACATCCCAATCGATCAACCAGTGCACGATCTCCAATCCTAAAGTCTTCAATAAGTAGTATTTTAAAACCTACCTTTCCAAAACCAAGAGAACTATCCCTTGCTATGAGCCAGAACCGATGAACTCAGAAATCAGGAAATGGCCGAGAGTCGATCACCAAGCATTCAAGCCACACCTTCAATTTATCCTATAGGGGGGTTTGGGTATTTCTCGCCGCTGACCTCACACCACACTGCGGTAAATCCCATGGGCTTAACCTCGGCGCTGATTGGTCGAAATACAATAAATTTTACACCTCAATGAATCCACCCAATTGCTTTCCGTGTTTCATTCCAGAGCAGACATATATAAACATATGCTCGACCAAATTGGATAGATTTCCATCGGTCAATAGTAGCGGAAGATAATTGTTTTATCCAGTCATAAAGTCTGCAGAGGTTCCAGATAGATAACTGATTTCAAATTGCTAATTGTAATTGAAGTTTTCGTCTAAAGCCTTAACGACATTCTTGGCATACCACATTTCGTATGTACTTATAACGAAGCATTTCATTGGATAGCATCTTGTACTAAGAATAGCCCTACATATAAATCCGAAGAAATTGCTTTCAGATGCATTCTGTAACCATCGCCGAGTTAGAAAGCCGGGTGAACTCATAAAAATCAAGAAATTTAAAAACTTTGCAATAAGCTCTACCATACAAATACTTTACTTGATTCGACCTCAAACGCATCTTATTCAAACTTTTCATGCGAAAATTTACTTGTTCTTCATTTCCGGTGGCGTGACAGTCAGGATATGCAATGACGCATCTCAGAGCGTTCCTTCTTTGTTGAAACAAGTTTTCCTTCAAGAATGCTCGTTTGACTTCACTGATAAAAAAATGCTGCGTCAATTCGAAACTTCAATCATGAAAATAGCCACAATTTTGACCACATCTTCGACGGACGTCACGGTTTTTGCGTATGTCACGCAACTGTGGTAATCGTTTAACCAGTCTGTCACCATCAATTCTACCTTTCAGTGTATTTGAAAACCATTGCAGGGAATACGCATTTGTAGCGCAGCCTTCAAACTATCAACACTACATTCAAGGCACTTTTTATTTGATGCTATATAGAGGCCACTCTCTCATTTTCGAGCCAAAAAGTTCGCCATGGAAACTTTCGTTTACCAAACAGCACGGCGGGGGGTGTTTTGACCACGCGCAGCGACTGGCACCCGGTGAGCGCCTGTGTGTCGATATATTCAGATTAAATTTTTCAAATAATTAAAATATCTCTAGAATCAATAGTGGGTGGAAAACTGATACAAAGGAAAAAATTGTTCGTTTACGTCGCTTTATGTTCATAAACGGTCTCTGTAACAAGGAGCGAATGATTCTAAGATGTCTGGCTGTTGAGACAAAGGTAATTAAAGGAAAGTTTTCAAAATTGATGTCTTACATAGTTTTCTCGTTTACCCTAAAAGGCAAAATTTTTTAGTAAGGTTACCTGACGCATGCCGAAAATTTAGCCTTGGGAGTAAAAAAATAGAGTGTCCTTCGCAATCTCTGAAAATATCACTTTCTTTGACAAAACTCCATCTCTTTCGGTTGTTTCTTTCCATTTTGAAGCACCTTTTTGCTATCCTTCCAGACAAGTACTGTTTGGTTTCCAGTTCACCTCTAGGTTAATAATATTTCACAAGTTCCAATGTTATTTTGGACGAAGTAATGTACAGACAAAAGTGTAGCAGCTAGAGGGGAAAGTTAACAATGAGATCTGGGGTGTATAAAGGTCAACTGAGATTTCTCCAAGAATAGCTGTCTATATTATTTTTCTTCTTTTAAATACCAACTTCACTACAAATCTTAAGTATAACTGTACAAATTGAATATCTTTCAGCATCTAACTTAACGTGTACTAAGCTAAACTGAAGGTAATAAACACCGGTAACTACATAGTATACAGATAGATAGCATCACATTTTAATACCACTGCTAGGTAAGAACCATGCATAAATAAACTGCATATCAACTCAGCTCCTTCACATAAATGAAAGAATTGAAGAGTTTGGCTCCAAATTTGATTACAATCAATCAAGAAAGAAGGTACCATTTCCCCTCACTGAGCTGCATGTTCTGTTTTCCATGAACTACACTGACAGGAAAAGTTTTCAAAGAATTGTCATGACCCTTAAACCCATGAATAGCAATTACAATGTCTGATCACACTATAAAGTGGGTCATAAAACAACAAGTTTAAGATTGGATATCCAGAATAAAATTACAATGATATCCCAACATGTTTGACACATTAGGATGTACATCTGGTTCCAGACAATGGAGAGGTCAAGATCAACTTAGCTCCTTTCAGGGTGACATTCAAAGGAGAAAATAAAAGTGACAGGAGTGTTTTAAAAATACCATTTGCCTTAACCCTTTAACCCTTCAATTCCCAGAAGTGATTAACATGAATCTTCTCCTTATAATATCCACACATTATCCAACAAACAGGTTATAAGAATACTCAAACTTATCAGGTAGAAGTTGTTATCTTGATCAGTGACTAAATTCTTGTAACTTATTTACAAGGAAACATATAGGAGCTAGAAGGGAGAATTAACATCAAGATCCTAGAAGTTAAAGGGTTAATAGGAGTGCAAATTACAGTGAGTATGGGGAAACAAATTCACAATTTTGACAACCACCCTTAATATGGTGTGACTTAATTCAAGGTCAAGTGCACCTATGATCTAATTGCGGTCTGTCAGAGATGAAAACTGAGATATACAGTGAATGATAAGTGACCAAGACAGAATTTCTCCTCACAATATCAATACAATATCAAGCAGACATGTGATAAGAATAAAGAAAAATAGTAATTAGGAGATTATTAACTGATTCAATATCAAATTCTCCAAACTAACATCACAAGAACTGTACAGCAGATAGTGAGAATTATTAATGAGATCTTGGGAGTTAATTAACCAGTCAACCTGTGTGACTCCTTAATACAGGTTAGACTGTAGAACAACTCTGCGCTAATAAAGGGCATGTTGAAGTCATAATTGCATTTATAGTTTCTTTTAATCAAAAGTAATTTTTGTTAAACAGCTTGCACCTTTTTCAAATGTGGCAGTGAGTCAGATAGGAGACCGCAGTACAAAGATCTGGCTGGATTTCAAAGCCTTTATTCCACTGATGAGTGTGGGTTGACTCCGCCAACTCCTCAGCTTTGTAAAACAGTTTCTTTTCAAAAATACTGTCGACCAAAACCACAAGGTTTTTCGTACCCTTAGGGAGCTCAATTGCAATACAAAAACATAGTTCCCTGATAGTGTGACCTTTGATCACACTCGTGTAACGCTGGTAACTAAAAGAACAAGACTCTACCACCCAAACAAAAGTGTCCTTTGACTTTATTCGCAAACAAATGTGTTCCACACATTGGTACAGAATACAACATGGCTGGGTTAGGACAAGTATACTGAATCATCAGTAACCTATGCCAGACTTTCCATCAGCTGGACGTAAAATAAGCAATAAAAGAATGGGTAAAAAATATCAAGGTGTCAAAGGAAAGAAAAAAAAGTAGTTAACTAACCACCTTGCATCAGTCCCTCACAATTTCACTTGTCTCCATTAATCCAAAAGATTGGAACAGGATGGAACATCAACACAACAAGATACCAGCAGCATCCTTAAACCCCTTATCCCTAAGAGTGATTAGTACCTAATTTCTCTTTACAATATCACCTCTGAATCACACTTTAAGTTAATGAGAATCAAGGAAATGATCACCAACTAAAGAAGTTCTTGATTGATAATCAATTTCTCCTTGTCAGCACCTTAAGAAATGTATCAAAAACAATAGGGAGAAAATGGATACTGATGGAAGAGCGAAAAAGGTCAATAGCTATCTAATATTCTGCTTATCATAGAGATATTAATCAGAAATTCAAATCAGATATAATTTCGATACTGATCTAGAGTACCTGGAATGCAGTGATCACCCACAGATATTTTTTTCTCAAAGAAATGTCATGTAAATGTTTGATACAAAAATTATTACACACTTTTCCTTTGCAGGAATATTTTGATTTTTATCACAAAACATTAAATCAAATCTCAGCGATGGAGGTGAAATAAAGCAAATCCCTTTGGGGAAACAACAAATGGCATATTGGTTAACACAATTACCTAAAAATATATTGATATTTGCATCAGCAAAAGACAGAAATAGTACATTTACAGCTAGATCTTTCCTGCATGAGGTGCGAATATCAAATTTTAGAAGGAGACATCATAGCATTCCACCAAAAAATGACTGTATTCAGCTTTTCATTGGGTTTGCATTAAATAAGAAGAACAAATATTTTTTCAATGACTAAAAGCTATTTTATTAATACAATAATGGCAAAAATTTTTTCAAAGATCTACTTATAATTGCTTATAGAAAAAGAAAACGCATGAATGCACTTATTAATACATTATATCATTTACCTCAAACAAAAATAAATCATATCATGGGATGATAATCAAATCTGTACTGTTTGCTGTACCGTTCACTTAACATGCAAACTCTGAAGTAATTAACAAACTGATAATTACATTCTATCTGATCAGTTATTGGGATTGATAACCATGAATGACAAACAAACAGACTGGATCAAAATTCACCAAACATAAGTGAAGAATTTTTTGATCCATTGAAAATATTACTCTTGTTTCAAGCAAAAAACTATAACTTTATAATCAAACGGTTCAATTTTTAATAAGTTTCAGGTAAACTGGCTCACCAGATGTTTCAAACTATGCAACATTTCATTTTTTTCTTCTTCGCTTTGGTATCAAGGGCAGCTTTTGTAGCTGTTCTAAAAACAGCTATCACTCCATCCTTTGTTTTTGCCGAACACTCCAAGTATGCATACCCATTGATCTTTTCACACATTTGAGTTCCTTCTTCATGTTTGACTGGTTCTTGTTTCATCTTTGCCAATTCTTTCTTGACGTGTTCATCATCTCTGAGATCTCTCTTATTACCAACCAAAATGATTGGGACATTTGGACAGAAATGCTTCACTTCAGGAGTCCATTTTTCAGGGATGTTCTCCAAACTGTCAGGACTATCAATGGAGAAGCACATCAGGATAACATCAGTGTCGGGATAAGAAAGAGGTCGTAGCCTATCGTAGTCTTCTTGTCCTGCTGTATCCCATAATGCTAACTCTACTGTCTTGCCATCAACTTCAATGTCAGCCACATAATTTTCAAACACTGTAGGCACATACACTTCAGGGAACTCATCTTTAGAGAACACAATCAGTAAACAGGTCTTGCCACAGGCACCATCACCCACAATCACAAGTTTTTTGCGTATTGCTGCCATCTTAAATCATCAATCTAGGGAAAGAACTGTACAGTCAAGTTAGTCAAATCACATTTTCTGCATCTCCAAGAAAAATTTGCTATAGCTTCTCCAGATAGGCATTTTCAATCTACACTTATATTGCACAGCTTTCAAGTTCTTCATCATATAGTCAGTGTGTGATTTTTTAAGTGAAAGTGGTCCTGGAATGGTTTGTAACCTTTTACACTTAATATCAATATGCATAATTCCACAACGTCCCCTATAAATTTCTTAAGGAGCTGACAAGGAGAATTTGTTGAAATATCCATAGCTTCTTTATTTGGTGATTATTTCCTTTTTTTGTCATGACCTTTATGTGTGATTCAAAGGTGATATTGTTAGGAAACATAAGATGCTGGTCAAAAAGTGTTTATTGGTAAGTGGCTGATACTTCATCAATCTGAATGGTTCTTATCAATATTTCCACGTCGATGTCTCATTCTTGAAGTGTCAATCACAAGCAGTAACAGATGATTTTTTAAAATCTCCCCAAGGTAATCTCACCCTCCAAGAGACAGAAACTACAGTGCTGTGTTGATGGGGAGTATTAAAGATAACTTTACTATATCAAATGACTTGATGAAGTGAATTGGTCATGGTAAAGTTTCTAAAGCTAACATTTTGAGTGTTAGACCTTCACCAGTGAAAAAAGTGGAATTGTGTGTGATGTACAATTTATGTAGAGAAAAATTAAGCTATGGTATTGGTGGGAACACAGTAGCAGAAAATAAACAATGCAATCTTCCACCAATAGCGTGGCTCCATCTTTCTGCAACAAAGTGCATACAACCCACTATTCACTGCTCGACACATCAGCATTAGAAAATATTTACAGTGGCCAATTTACATTATCAACTCAGTTGATGAAAACCAACTTATGTCACCAGACCATAAATAATTTGAACCAAGATCTTTGGTGCGAGAGTAGTCCCAAAAACTGCTTTTTTCAGTAGCAGTGACTAAAATTACCACAGTTTTTGGAATTCACTCAGAAAAAGTTGATAATTTTACTATTTTCAGCAATGTTAGTGTTGACATCACCATCCCAAGTCTCTTGTTTGAGTTCAGTTGGTCTGGTGTAAATCAGCTGGGTGTCGAAAGGTCATCTAAAAATTTTTCTTTATTCACATTCACAGAAAACTTCATTGAATCTTTCAAAAACATTTTACCAACCAAGATGCTCGACTACCAGACTTTTAAACTCTCCTTAAGTTTAGCCAATCAGATGGAACCAGCGAGTTGAGAGTGAAAGAAAAGAAATGAAGAGGACATGATATTGGAATCTCTTCAAATTGGTATAACGAATCTAATAAATTACATAACACCATTTGAAAAATGAAGGTCTGATTGACGGAATGAGCGGCGGACAAACACTAAAATACTCGCACAACAAATTTAGATGAGCGCTTCTGTGACCCAAAAAATACTTTTAACGAAATGGCCGCCATTTTCAAGTTTGATTCACATTGCATATTTGGCAATGAGACCCTGATCTACGATTCTAAGCTTTCTTTTAGATGTAATTGTGTTTAATAACCTACCTTTCAAATGTAAAGAACACTGTTCCTTATCGTGGGTTTAGAATACTCCCAACAGTGACTGGAACGAAGGATCAACGAGCGACAACCCGTTCTTCTGCTACAGTGTAGTCGGGGGGGTTCGCTATTCTTACCGCTGACCTCAGTTTACACGTCGATCACACGTGTTTTCCAAAAATAGACTTTAGATCTTCGTGATCCTTCAAGGGGATGCTGGTTCGCGCAAAGTTTCTTTTTTCTATTTTTCAAGATTGATTTTTTCTCTATTAATGCCAATAGGCAAAACATGAGCTAATGTAATCCAGTTTTGATTGTATCAATAGTGTATTTCGGTTCTGTGCTGTCAATAAGCGATGCGTGACATTCGACTAAGACTTCCCGTGACAAGAACTGTTCGAGAACATGTAATCGGAAACATAGAGACAAAAAAGTGCCTAATACGATAAGTACGTTGCGGTTCCGAACTAAACTCAGACATTTTTGAGACGGGAACAGATATAGGTCTTTCCTTCTGTTCATTCTAGAATTTTCTGAGAGAGAGATATATTTATATCGGAAACGAGTACGCCCCGACTTGAAACCGCCCCTGTTGTGATATGACACGCTATAGGCTATAACCCTCACTTGACTTCAAAAAGTTTGAAGTTTTCAGTATTTGGGCCAGGCTAAGTATCAACCCAAAAAAAATTATCAACGCTTTCTTCATTTTTGCCCTGATAAACTGTTTCCTTTCATGTCCTTCATGATACAGCGTTACGCAAACGTAAGTCATAGTAGTAACCGACAGTTCAGCGATAGTTCCATCAACACGAGGTTGAAGTTTTATTTAACCCTCACAACAGGCGTAATCTTTGTACGCGTCCAGACAAATATTACAGCGGCTGTCTGGTAAAAAGACACTAAAACGCCTCCTACTTGAGCAAAAGAATAAAAAGTATTTTTTGCGAGGCTTAATTTACATGAAAACCAGGAATTTTAATCAGGAGGATGAGGGTCAGAGGATTAGGTAGACCCGCCCAAAATCGTCAACTTTCGTAATCATTTCATCTTTATTACTATCATTCTTGGTATTAATATCATTATTAGACGATAACTCTGCAATCTTTACCACATAGAATGCAGATTATTGTATCGTGATGAATAATTTAGGTAGTGTCGAGAAAATATTTTTGAAAAAAATGTATCTTTGCGTGACCAAACAGATAACGAAATTTTTTGTATTCATCAGTAAGAAAATAATAAATTTATTATGGATTACAAGAGTAAGATAAACATTTGGAGCTTATTACTGTAATTCTTGTCGTTAACATTTCAGAATAATTTCTTTGAACAATTTAGGAAATATTCGGTTAGTAAACATGCAATTGGCGAATGGTACCTCAGTTTAAAAAGTCACGGGTCTTCCATGATGTTACAGCCGGCAGCCTGAAGTATCGTATTTCTTTTAAAGCTCTTAATTTTTTTGGTGGCTGAGGGTCTAAAGCTTAAGTAGCTTAGAGTAATCGCTCTGAGCGACAGATGTCTGTATATGACCATTGTCGCTTAAAAGTAATACGATGTAGAGGTTATATAGAGCAAAACTGAAAGCCAAAGCTTAACACGACACTTCGAACTTCTCCTTTAGCCTGCGGGTAAGCTCTTACGGTTTATAATGACTTCGCCCCCTTGGAAGTTCGCCCACTATCACCTTTGCGAGTTCGCCTCTAACGTAAAGACAAATTCGCTCCCACCTTAAACAGTTCGCCCCCAAATCTTTCGACTCGTTTCCATATCACAGAACTTATAAATTTCCACTCGGAAACATGATATTTTTGCGACCAACATGCAAAAGGGAGCGAACTCACAAAAAACGGTGGATGAGGGCGAAGTTTTGATGGGGCGAATTCACCAGTTTAATACTCCTTGCATCACACCTGTGAGTATTTTTTACCTCTTGAATGACACCCTCAACTCTTGCATCGATAGGATTGCATGTTAATACTCAATGTGAAGTATTTAGAATCTACTTGTCTTGAAATACCGGGCATTTCTATACGTTCTTAAGCTCTTGTATGAAAAACATTTTTGCGTTCTCTGAAACAGAGTTTGAACACCCACCTCTCTGTCCAAAATTCGTGGATCCGCCTCTGCCAACCGATCGAGGTGGATCAATGTCGGTGTCTGATCAACTGCACACCTACCCCTCTCCTAACTCACAACAGTCAACTGATAACAAGTTAGGGTCAATGTTGGGCTAGGGGAGGGGTAGGTGCGTAATCGCTGAGCTCCTGGCATTGATCTAGAAAAGCAATAACTAGTTACAGAATTTCACATTTATATCTACGGCAACGACACGTTGTTTTCAGCGAGACCTTAGCAGCCGTTTCAAATACATCTCTAACTCCTTCCATTGCTTTAGCAGAACATTCTAGATATAAATGACCTTTGATCTTTCGACACATCTTAAATCCTTCCTTGCTGGTAACAGGCGCTTGCTTCAGTTTCCATAGCTCGTTTATCACATTTCTGTCGTTTCTCAAATCTTTCTTGTTGCCAACCAAAATGATAGGTACATTGGGGCAGAAGTGCCTTACTTCAGGAGTCCATTTTTCAGGGACATTCTTTAAACTATCAGGACTATCAATGGAGAAACACATCAAAATAACATCAGCGTCAGTATAAGACAGAGGTCGCAGCCTATCGTATTCTCCTTCTTTTCCTACTGTATCCCAAAATGCCAGCCCAACCGTATCTCCATCAACTGTAATCTCAGCCCGATATCCACCGTCAAAAAGTGTCGGCACAAATTCTTCGGGGAACTTTTTGCAAGCGAACGACGTCAAAAGAGAAGTTTTTCCACAGCCACTATCACCTACAATTACCAATTTTTTACAGATATATGACATGATCAGTGAATTTCTCAGTTAAACCTGCAAAATAAAACAGAGAGTAAATTTCACACGAAACCCTTTGCTAGCGAAGTTCATCACCATACTCAAATTTCAGAGCGAATAAATAAATAAGAGGGGAGGTGAAAGAATAAACCTTCTCCCCCCCATTTACCTTTACATAATTCTCCCTACCACCTCATCCCGTTGTTTGAGTCACGCAAAGCTTTGCGTGACACGCTAAACATCGACGCAAGAGATTATCTAACGAATTCATAGATTTGTTTATGGACATCTGCGCAGATTTTAACAATTATCAATAAATGTATGTAGAATTAAATGTTGGCGATCAAATTTTCCGCTTACCTTAAAGAAATATTACTTCTTGATTACCTCTTCTTATCAAATACAGTTCGTCGAGTGAGCCAAAATTCCCAGATCTCAGGATAAGCCACTGACGATTATGGTAAACTTTTAGGTGCCTTCATCTTATACTACTGTATCAGGGCAGAGCAGTAATTATTGGCCACTGATGAAAACATCAGGAAAAGTCCTTGCGTTGTATCCTTTTGGCCTTTAGTTAGCTTGAATAGAAACCAATAACGAAATAATGTTTGATTTGGCCGGCGTTCGTATCGCGTCAAAATCGTTTTGCGGAACTTAATTCAGCTGACGTCATTTCCGCTTCCTCGTTCTGTACGTGCGTCGGGGGATTGTGGGATCGTAAATATCTATGGACTTGATTGCCTCGGCGGAGAAAAAATACCCGCTGTAGCTCAGCTTTTGGGATTCGGCTTTAAAAGTGCATGCAAAAAATCTCTACAAAATGACGTTTGTTACTGGCTGGGAGTTTGGAGTTTGATGTTCTATCAAGAAAACTCATTTGATAATCGATGGAAATGAAGAGTTCAGTTGAAACACACAGTGATTTCGGTGGCCTTTTTTTTGGCCGTCTTTAATTGCTGAAATATTGGAAGTAAATCCGTAAGAAATTTACTGCGGGCAGGGAAGCAAAAAATTGCCTTTTTGACGAGGCAAGAACAAAGCATAACAGAACAATAATATCAACAAAACAGCCCACGTTTTGAATTCGCCAACTGTCAAAATAATAACTTCCTTCTGTAGCTTTCATCAGAGTAAACAGGACTCTGAGATAAACAGTGTTATTAATTTTTAGCTGTTTATAGCATGTCTTGATAGCAATTGCATGAAGTAAAATTACTAATCTAACAAGTAAGTTATTCCATTTTCATTTTCCTTGTATTGATCAGTTATTTTGCGGCACCCACTCCATTTGTACCTTGAACTCTTCCGGTGTATCAAACTCCACACACACACACACAACAATAGTGCTATTGTTTTTTTTCGATTCTTTACTATTCTCTTCCTTTTTTCATCTATTTCAAGTAGTTATTGAGCTTTTTTTTCTCACACCAATGTGTGTCAATTACAATTTATCTTACTAGCAAAAGTTCGTGTGAGTTAAAGATAAAATTGACTTCACTTGACATGGATATTGAAGAGTGGAGATAACAAGGTTTACTGCAAATAGCGAATTTGACAGACTGAGTTAGGCTCGCGACTCGCTCTTATCTTTGTTCGCCTGTGAAACGTGAACAAATTACGCCTGTTGTGCAGGCAATTTGAATTTGCAAAAATCATCTGAAGCATTATATAACTCCTTGAGAAGATGCCCTGTTTGCGTTTTTGTCCTCTCAATTTAAAGAACCGGTATTTCCTGAATTGACTTAAGGAGATAGACCTCCATAAATTCCTTCGAAGATTTTGATTACTTCGTGAACATTTTCTTCTGCCTGTAAGCCCTTTAATTCCTAAAATTGAATACCGAGATTTTTTTCCAGGGTCTAGGGTGGCGACTCTTACCTTGTAACTGGAAAAAGAATAGACTAGACTACCAAAACATTTAAAAAAAAAAAAAGAAAAAAAACCTGCTGTCTGTTAAGCCTTGTCAAAATATTTACAAATTGAAATGAGAGCATCAAAATGTTCATAAATTAATTTTAATTATTTTAGATTACGCTCTGCGTTGAGTTAAACTATGAATCTAAATCAGAAGCCTGAGAATTTCGCGAATGTTAAATGATAACGGAGAACATAAAGGTCACTGTTTTTCCATGATCAGTTGTTCTGATTATTTCTAACTGACGGTTCTCAGCTCGGAAAGAATATCGAGTTCCATTCCACGCTACACTGCTGCAAACCCCATCTGGCCAAACTTTTACAATAGACGACATTTTTGCCATGATCGACGAGGCTTGTATGGTTTCGATCTAAGCGCAGCCCTGGCAGCCGTTTCAAACACATCTCGGACTCCCTCTCTCGTTCTGGCTGAACATTCCAAGTAAGCATGAGCTTTGATTCTTTCACACATAACTGATCCTTCCTCGCTTGATATCGGCGCTCGTTTATAAATCGCTAGCTCTTTCTTCACACTTTCGTTGTGTCTCAAATCTTTCTTATTAGCTACCAAAATGATCGGTACAAATGGGCAGAAATGTCTTACTTCAGGAGCCCATTTTTCAGGGATATTCTCAAAACTGTCGGGATTATCAACAGAGAAGCACATCAGGACAACATGAGTGTCGGGATAAGACAGAGGTCGAAGCCTGTCATAATCTTCCTGTCCAGCTGTATCCCAAAGTGCTAACTCTATCATTTTTCCATCAACTTCCATATCAGCTACATAAGTGTCGAAAACTGTTGGCACATGAGTTTCGGGGAATTCATCTCTAGAAAATACGAACAGAAGGCAGGTTTTCCCACAGGCGCCATCGCCTACAATGACCAGTTTTTTCCTCGTGGCAGATAACGACATTACTGAATCCTCAGTCTGACAAAGCAAAAAGGAGGAAGTATTTAGTGGGCTTTATATTAAAGATAGTTCAACAAACATACATAGCCCATGACTTTGAAGAAAAATTCTTATTTTTTATTGAGATACAAATGTTTGAACATTATTCTAAATGGTGAGGAAAAACGCGAGATCGTGTCTTGAAGGGAAACAGTTTGAACTTAGGCACTCTGGAGATCATTATTTTTCGCTTAAAAGATCAAACCGTAGGTATAAACAATGCCAGTAACTTTTTCAAATAATGATATTGCATGCATCTATTGTAATTCGTTTCAACAGTGCGAGCGTGCTTCGCGTTTAATTACTTCGCCCAATTACTTCACGCTTGCCGGTCAGTGAGCATTGAAGCGTAACAGTGGGAACCTTCTCATTAAATTCCCACTTTGTAGACGATATAAAACAATGTTTTTATGTTTCAGTTGTGAGTTACTCGTGAAATAAAGCACTTAAATACTTTGGAGGGCCCTCTAAAAATAAGAGTTGCTCGGCGCAACCGAGCGTCATCGCATGCTCTCTTCAAACTTCACGAGTGCTTCAAATCTCGCTAAAGGCACAGTTTACGCACGAACCAGCTGTTTATAATCATTCCCGTTAACTTCACAACAATTCTAATGGTTTTTTGTATTATACAAAGATATTCATTTAGCGAAAAGTAAATTGTGGAATTGACCGTACATTCTGAGTCATTCCTCAATACGTACCTTAATAAAAATCACTTCTAAGGAGGTCGTGCGTGAACAAGTCTGAAATAGGTAAAATGTCCAATATTTGAATGCGAAGTCCAACTCGTGAATGAGAGATAACTGTCAAACTCCTGAATTTATTCTGTTCAAGCGGAGGAGTTATTATTGGAAACTGTATATGACATCAGGGAATATACCTCTAGTATGTCATCCGGGCTTCTGATTGGTTGAAAACCCCTCATCTACTTTTAAATTTAATGCCTAAGCTTGAATAAACAGAAACATCGATGAGTCATAATTTTAATTTATGCAAACTAAGCTTACGATATATAATTATGCCATATTGTCAAAATTTCCTTCACTTTCGAAGGATACAGTAATTATATATTACATGGACTTAAAAAATCGAATGGATCTTGTTTAATTTTGGTCAGACATATGAGCATCTATTTTTGTCATAGCATGTTTAGAAAAATGCTGTCGTTTTGTCTTGTCAGGAAGTGATGAAAATCTCTTGCGTTTTTGTAACCACTTTTTCTTTCAAAGTGCGACTGATTTTACAAGTGCTTGTCCTTAGGAATTGACGTCGAAGGATATGATATGATATGCTTGATCTAAAGACAGGCTCAGACATAAACCTGTTTCCCATCGCTCTCGGTCTTAGTTCTTTTGGATCCCCCTTAGGTCAATGAACAGCGCTTTTAAAACAAGCACTTGTGTTATCAAAAATTCTCGTTTCAAATCTTTTCGAGAGAAACAACATTTTATAGTTTTAAAAAATACTTTCTTATGTCATTCTCCCGGTATGAGTGACAAGCGACTTGCGTGACAAGAGTGGCGTCATTTCCGTTAGATATCATTTCCTCTTGTGAAACTTCTAGATAGAATCAATTGTTTTTCAGTTGCAGTTCACTGCTTTTTTCCCCTCATATTAGAGCCTGTGGTTTTAAGGTAAGTAAGAAAGTACGTCGCTATGCTTCGCTGTCATCATAACGTCGATGATGACAGAATCTGAGCAAGTGTGGATTTCGCAACATTGCATGGTTCGATGAGAACGAGCGCGATATTGACATTGAAGTCTTATAATAAGGAAATTAGTCAGGGAATTTATTTTTCGACTGACAGTTTTATGCTTGAATCACGATTTGTGCTACACGGGTTTTCTCCCGCAAATGATTTCAAATCATTCGATCAAAAATTATATCTGAAACATCACAATCATTGAATTCGGGTCACCAGACAAGTGGACCTCCTTATGGAAGAGAGGGGAATGGTGTGAATAATGCGACACCATATGGGATGGGAGGTGTATCAATTTCAAGAGGTCTCTCTTTTCAATCAAGGAGGGAGGGGGTGGGTGGGTTCTTGTCTTGGTATCGAACGGATCGCCAAATCGTATTGTAAGACAAAATAATTAGTCAGTTTTAAATGGTAGGGAACCTCACCTTGACCTTACTTCTCACATGATCAAAATGTCAATTCTTCTGCATTGTCTGCCATGTAGTTCTTATAATTTTAGCTCTGAGAATTTGCTTTTGAATCAATCGTTATTCTCTGATTGACACAATTACTTCATGTCATCGCTTTTATTAACGATCGAGAGGAGAAACCTGCTTTTGGTTACTTCTGATAGAGAGATGGTTCGAAGACTAATTATTTTAACCCTTTTAATCCCAAGATCTCATTAGTAATTCTCCTTACTGACTTCCACACAATTCTTATGATGTTAGTTCCGAGAATTTGGTTTTGGATCAACTGATAATCTCGTAATTGATATTTCCCTCTGTTCTCATCACTCTTCTGCATCATATTGTATTGATATTGTAAGGAGAAGATCTGTCTTGATCACTCATGGGATTTAAAGGGTTGACAGAGAAGCAGCGGAGCGCTTAGAAGTGTAGGGGGGGGGGGGGGGCTCATCCTGTGTGCTAAGCCAAGTACATGCCCCTACTCAATCTTTAATGTCTCCTTTTGGAACATGGGCCGGAGCTGTTCAAATGGAAAAAAATTCTTACCACATTTGATTTCGCTAAAAAACGATCAAAATGAATATTTGCCGAACGGGGGTGGAGTGGATTGGCGGGGGGCTTAGCTTCCCAAATTTTCGTTTGGAGGGGCTGTTCAATACTTTCTATCTCATTCTCATTTGCAGATCGCGGATTAATCATGTCAGCAATTAGAAAAAAGTTCGTCATCGTTGGTGACGGTTTATGCGGGAAAACCTGTCTTTTGATGACCTTCTCTGCCGGGAAATTCCCTGAAGGTTATAAACCTCGAACAGTTGAAAATGACGTTTTTAACCTCAACGTTGATGGCACGACAGTCGAGCTTGAGTTTTGCGACACTGTGGGAGAAGATGATTTCGACGTCGTTCGACCTCTGGCTTATCCCAACACAGATGTTATCGTGATGTGCTTTTCCATTGATCGACCAGAGAGTTTGGAGAGTATCGCTAAAAAATGGACACCTGAATTGAGGCAGCACTGTCCTAAAGCACCGATAATTTTGGTTGGGAACAAGAAAGATCTGAGACATGACCAAAGGATTGAAGAAATGTTATCGAATTTAGACCAATCTCCTGTAACAAGCGAACAGGGGCGCGAGATGTGTGAACGAATCAAGGGAAATATTTACCTAGAATGTTCTTCTAAAGCTTTGGAAGGAGTTCGAGATGTATTTGAAACGGCTGCAAGAGCCGCTCTTTTGAAGAATCGTGATCGTAAGAGATGTTGTATATTCTAAAATCATCAAGAAGCCTCAGATTCTTTAACTTCTTTGATCTCATAAGTAATTCTCCCTTCAAGCCACAAGACATATCTTAAAAGATTAGTTAGGAGAGTTTGAAGTTAAAGATGACTGGCACCCAGAAATTTCCTTCCCATGGCCGTGTCCCTGGTGTAGAATAAAGAATGTATTCAATTTTGAATTGTTGTTATGCCCATCTGAATATTATTATATAAAAAGTAAAAATTATTATTGTTATTGAATTAAGACTGTTTATTTTCTACAATTTCTAGTAACATCAATATCAGTACTGAAATTTACACTTTTGTCTGATAAAAATATATATCTTATATGAAAAAATCTTATTCTGCCCCCGAGGAATCTTATCTTGTAAACTTTGATGAAAAAAAAAACCCGTCGTCAACAAACCTATCGAGGACAACAAAAACGTCTAAAAATACGAATTTTAAATCCTTTTCATTGACTTTGAATTTGGCCAAGAGAAGCTACCAACAATATTATGTTAATTTTTCGAACAAAATATAATTTTTGTCGTTTACCAATATTAGATTGCTTGGAGTTAAAAGATTACGTTTCTTTAATAGACCTCACCAGACACAAAACAGCCATTGTGGAAAAAATGTAAATAGTGTGAATCAAATGACCGGGAAATTAGAGATTTTTTTTTCCTCGTTATGTTTACTTGTAGACACAAACATGACAACCATGCATTTGTTTTTAAAACGTTTCAGCGCGTTATGACTTTGAAATTAAACTCGGCCCTTGGGCCCCAAAGCTGAGAGAGGTTTTAAATATTTCGGATATTTCACATTTAGTTATAGTATACCACACTTAAGCCACGGTCGACGGTTGTATAACTTAGTTTTCAGTGTAGCCTTGGCGGCCGTTTCAAACACATCTCTTACTCCCTCTCTCGTTATTGCAGAACACTCCTTGTAAGCATAAGCTTTGATCCTTTCAAACATTGCTCGTCCCTCTTCGCTAGTTACAGGCGCTTGTTTGAACTTGGACAAATCGTTCTTTACGTTTTTATCGTGTCTCAAGTCTATCTTGTTACCGACTAAAATAAGAGGAACCCTTTGGCCACAGAAGTGCCTTACTTCAGGAGCCCATTTTTCGAGGACGTTTGCTAAGCTGTCAGGACTATCAATGGAGAAGCACATCAAGACCACATCAGTGTCAGGATAAGACAAAGGTCGCAGTCTGTCATAAGCCTCTTGTCCAGCGGTATCCCATAAAGCTAACTCTACCATTTCGCCGTTAACCTCAATGTCAGAGACATCAGTCTCGAAAACGGTTGGAACGTAAAACTCGGGAAACTTGTCTGTAGAGAACACAGACAGGAGGCTTGTTTTTCCACATGCACCATCTCCAACAACTACTAGTTTTCTTCTTATGGGCGACATGGGGGCTGCTGCTTTTCAACCTGTGCAACAAAGAGACTGAATGAAAGTGATCCTCACAGTAATGTGCACTACTTGGGCAGTAGTGAAAATAAGGCTTGAAATAAATTCAGGCCTGTACGGGATTTGAACCCATGACCTCTGCTAGAGGAAGAAAGAAGACATCTGATTGGTAACTCTCCCTTCCTGCTAGAATACACTTCGTTAGCCTTATAAAAAGTCACCCTCAATCTCACGTATAGTTTTTTCCTCGCCATCAGTTTGCGCAACAATGTTTTGAGAAAGCAATCAAGGAAACGTTCCATTTTCTTCACTTTTTACTTGTGAGGGTCTCAAAAAGTTATCTTGTTTAATAGCAAGAATAGAAGACTGAAGTCGAAAATATCATTGACGCTCTGATTGATGAACTCAACGTAATTTACAATCAGATAAAGAAAACACAAGTGATTATTCCATTCTAGAAAAAAGGGAAAAAACCTTTGAATGATTTAGTTTAAGGAACACCAAACTCAAGACTACGTGATATTTTTAAAATTCTACCGAACAACCTTCTCGACTCACATAGTTACGTAGGTAAGTCTGTACTCGAGCAAAGCGGAACTTCTCCCGGTTTCCTTTGCATGAAGCGACTAGACGTATCACTCCTCCCCCGCTGACTGGAGTACCGGTCCACCTCAAGTTTAACCCTTAGCATTTCATCAGGCTTCCCTGGTAATGCTCTTTACCTTGACGATTATTGTGTCATTTCCCAGTCAGCAAAGTCACTCGTTTAACCATTGCATGTATAATATACAGTGTATAGAATATTATAGTCTATTGAATATTGACGATAAATTTTCAATGTAATCGCCGTAATAAAGATAAGCATCAGACTCTAACCACTGAATCTTGAAGAAATCTTGCGATTTTTTTTTCTATAAACAGTTGGCTATTGTATATTTCAGATGACGCAATGGCATGGATGTCAACTTACCTTTATCAATCAAAGCAACAGGGCTCTCCTTACAGAGACAGTTCTGCTTGAGGATGCACTGCTTAATGAACGTTGTAGGCCGAACGTAAGACTTTTTCATATAAGTAACACTGTTCATTAAGCCTCAAATTTATTCTTTCATAGCGGTGTGGTTATTAATGGCAACTGACGTATCACTTACGTTAGATCTTGAGGAAAATCCCTAGGGTTTTATGCCTTCCTCCGATTGGTAGAAGGTATCGTTCATCGTTTACCCATGAGTATAACCAATCTAACATTGTAACAAAGCTTCTGATTCGACAAACATTTGGGCTAAAAATAGCTAGAGATATAATCCTGACCGGAAAACGAAAACGGTCGCATTTACATTTACCCTTTTGGGACGATGACATCGATTGAATGTAGATGCGCTGCGTATGAAGAGCAAGAGTTAAGATTTCTTGATAGGTAATAGATGAAAAAATGTACATGTTTCTTTAGGAGACCGTTGAAATTTTATTTCAAACAAAATCCTCTACAGGGTTATTTAGTACTATCTGAGTTGATAACGTATATAGGCCACTACAAAGAGTTAAAAGCTGACGTTTCGAGCGTCAGCTTTTTAACTCTTTACGGTGGCCAATTTACGTTATCAACTCAGTTGATAATACTAAATTACCGTGTCATACTCTCCCACCGACGCAGCGCCACAGTTTTCTGAGAAACTTACCCCCAAAATCTTTGACAGTTGAGCATCTTAAGATTGCGTTACTTATGATACCGTGACTATGGATTGACGAGCTTTCGCCATTCACGCGTCATTTCCGGTTGCTAAACCTTCCCTTTTGTTAAGGCTTTCATCATACACTCTTTTGGTATAACACTATTAATCCCTATCAACTTCTTTTTCCGCGTTCGACACAGGAGAACGTATACTCTTCGCGGGTTCAATTATGGCCTGGATTTTATTACGCCGAGTCAAAAATACCCATTCCTGAGCTGGCACGAAGCCACTTTACTACTGCATAATTATCAGGTTAGTATAACAAGAGTCAAACAAGTATTAAAGCGGTCACCCACTGATCGCTTAATGGCTCCACAGAAAAGGGGTGATTTAAGAAACGATAAAAACACCATTTAATGCCACAATTGACCACTTAATGTACAAAAACCCACTCAAAAATACTTCTTACTTTTAGTAGAGAGATGAACATGGATTAAATTTTATTTGCAAGATTAGTCTTCGTTTTATTTGAGCAATTCTGCCCTAATTGTTGGTTCAGTACAGGTGAAACACAATACAAAAAGGCCGTTGGGACTCAGTTAAGGGTGACCACGACCACTTAACCCGTTACAGCCTAACATCAGTATGCATATTCTCCATACTGTTCTCTATACATTTCCCAAGAAGACAAGGAGAATTTGTTTACTCATCCAGAACTTCATTAGTTGGTGATCATTTTCTTTCTTCTTGTGACCTTAATGTGCCACGGGAGGGGTGAATTGTAGGGAGAAATCAGATGCTGGTCACTCTTAGGGGCTGAAAGGTTGACAGGGGTGACCGCTTATTAGGGAAGAAAATTACAGTGGTTTACAGGTAACAAATTCGGGACTTTGGCAACCGGCTGCTTAATGCAGCTTCGACTGTAAACAGCGGTTTCAAAGACTAACTCAGATTGATGACAAAATGTTGTTTACAGTAACTATGTGAGCAATCCTTGTTCAACGTCCATCAAAATCAGGCGTAGCTAGCGAGTCACACTGAATTACGTAAACTAGATCTTGCATTTCAAGTATTCTTCTCCGAAATATCGATTCTTTACAAAGTGAAAGTTCTAGTCCTGGCCGGGGCAACGCGTTGTGCCCTTGAGACGTGCGGGAAAAAAAATGGGAGCTCCGGATTTAGGCTTGGCTAAATCTATATATTACTCCAACATAAACCGACCAGTTACATGTTCGAAAGCCACGAAAATATAACTGACAACCCCAAGTGCGCATATTATTATTAGATCATTAGTAGCGCACTCATTGAGATTTGTTCATGTAATGCGTGCGTATGTTCTCCAGTTATATATATGGCCCGGTAATTTATGCCTGTATACTTCCAATAGTGTTTCGTCACACTTTCCTTGGTCATGAATTCGGCTCGGGATTAGGCCGAAATGAGGGCAAGAAGGATAATTTCCAGGAAGATCGCGTACCGTATCAACTTTGACAACAATAACTTTCTTCACTAATGAACGGATTTACTTTCAAGAGCTAGTTACGATGGAATCCGAATTCCTGTTCTTTTACGCCGAATTCACGATAAGAGGGGCTCTTAGATTATAAGTAATAGCGTATTATTTAGTGCAAGTATTTTGTAATGTTACTGAGTAGACTTCCATCATTTTAATCAGAGATATCAATTAATCAAACCTGTAAAACCAAGCTATCATGTTTTGGCTGACTAGCTTGCAAAATACATTATTTCCATTTTCTTTGGCTACATATGAAGAGCCTAGAGTAAAGAAGAATGTTATATCTAGAAAATTGTTCACTAATTTCTATTACGCACGACGCAACGATGCACGACGCAAGAGTAGAGCGTTGGCTTCTCTTCTCTACTTTTTTTTTCCCGCAACCTCGGTACTGGTTGCCCTCGTTGTCATGGTTTTCTTTAAGTACCCAAAGAAGCTCGATCAAGACGGTTACAAAGCCTTTTTCCTCTGCACCAGTGTATTTAAACACCTGTTTAGACTCATAAAAGAAAAAAAAACATTATTTAATTGCTTTCTGTTTAATGACGAGGATGCAATCGAGCTTTTGCCACGCACGATTGCTTTTGCATAGGGCGGTCTCGTGATTACAATGCACAAACTGCATGATTGACACCTAGTTATGTTGCTCCTTCATGCTAGTTAGTATAAATTGGACGTCTTCAATTCACAGTCTGTCAACCGCCAAGAGCCCTGCACTTAACCTCTTAGTGTACTAAGGTCACTGTTATAATCACAAAATATTTCGCGTACAGCCATGGGTCTGAAATTTGTTCTTTTAGTTTTACTGGACCTCACTGCTCTCTTATTTAACTCGGAAATGCTGTGGTGTTGCTACCGTAACAAAATGATGTCCAAGTTTCTCAAAAAAAGCAGAGCGTTGTGTATCATCCAAGGCATATGCCAGCTTACCATTCTCGCTACAGCCTCAGTTCAAGCCGTAATGGATTGCTACATCGATGATCAACGCTCAAATTCGTGTCAGATCCTCAAATTGGTTTTACTCTCTACAATGTTCCTACATGTGTACAATTTAATGGCGATTTTAACCATGTATTTTGGCCGAATTCTTCCGTGTGACACACGCAAGCAAAATACTTCATTTAAATTGTATGCCACACTTTCCATGGGATTCATCGAATCAGTTGTTCTGTTATGGTTTAATATTTTACCTCCAATGAACTACTCTGAAGTATCTGTAAAGGTTCTGTTCGTTGTGACTTTGATGTTGTTCTTCATCACTGTTTCAAGAAATGGCCCAAGCGATAAAATGGACCAAGCGGAACCACTGATTACAAAAAGACGTGTTTTCATTGTCATAGGCTTGCTGCTGTGCTTATTTCTCGTTTACCGCGACGAGTCATCATCATTGCTCTGGGATTTTGAAGAATCCGAAGTTGCCAAAGAAGTGCTTTTCATCTTCACCCCGAAATTTATCTTTGGAGTTATTCTACCTGTAACATTCTGCGATTTGATCGAATTTAGAGCAAAAGAGGAGATTACAACAAAAACTTTTATAATATAGAGGGAGTTAATTCTTAAGATAACCTCAGAAGTTGCCTTTCATTTTTTTTTTTCCATTTCAAATATCCTAAATTTGGACAAACACGTGTGTTGAATACTTAAAATATGCATTCACTTGAAAACTGTCTCCGTAATGAAGAATTTCACAGGTACCAGCCATTTTGCAGAATAACATGTCACTGGATAAGAAAAGCGTCCATTGTGTTATGCCTTGTTCTTCAAAGCCTTCCGACACAAGTAAATGAGGTGGACTAAAGTGGTAGGGTATTCTGCAGTTGCTCTAAAAAACATGGCTTTTTATCTCACGAAACTCAGCTGGCGATCGCGTGATATAGGCCTTCAAACTTCACTCTGTAGAGTTTGTCAAATTTCACGAATGACGAATACTGTGTTAGTTGTACTAATGCCTACTCGCGTGTTAATGATATTTCTTGAAAATAATAAAGCAAATAAACACGCATATAAATACGAGAAGTATATAAGAATTTGGAAGCTAATACATTGCTACATGTTTCACAAGTGTATATTTTGGATATTCCTGTATCATAACCCTCACGCACTGTCACTTCTTTACTTGTTTTGAGAAATGTGGCAATCGTAGTTGTTACAGAAACAATAGTGAATAAAATCAAAATAAAACGTAGGTAGATTTAAACTTTTATTAAAACAAGCTTGAATGCGCCGAACCATTCCTTAAATTTTTACAGATCAAAGTTTCACACGACACAAACGATGGAGGGCGGGTACAATGGCCTCTTTGTCTTTCTTTGTGCAGTAATAACAGAACCGATCATCGTGAAATGATAAAGGCGATAGGCAAATTATTCTGTTTAAAGTCTCAACCAATACATAGAGCCTCGAATTCTGTTGTATTCATGAAGCTGTTCGATGGGACCTTAACGAAAAAAAAGATAAGAATAAAGATTGAGCTTATGTTGTTACGAGAATTGGTGTTCATGTTGATTCTGGTGATTAAATTGACTAATAATTAAAAACGGTTGAGTTTGTCACGCAAATCGGCGAAGAAGTTAATTCGTATGAATACATTAACCCTTCAACTCCCAAGATCTGATTGTTAATTCTCCCCTCTAGCTGCTAAACATTTCCTCACAAATTAATTAAGAGAATTTGGTGTATGATCAAGATAACAACTTCTACTTGATAAGTTCGAGTATTCTCACTACTTGTTTACATGTTAATCACCTCTGGGAGTTAAAGGGTTAACTAATTGATAAACCGGGTAAAATATGTCACGCAAATTGGCGTGTACCAAATTTCCTCGAATAAGTCCCCGGGTGCCTATTCACTTATTTAAAATTTGGGTTTCAAGGAAGGCCGCTTTTGGAAAGAGAGTGTTTCATCAAGGGGGCCGGTTATTGAGAAACTATTGGCCCGTACTGATTCTGCTGTAGTTGAGGCTTTGAAGTTTTAAGTTAAGTGACAACAGAAACACGTTTTCATTGTATTCCTACAGGTTTTCCTCGTATCCATGATCGCGAGGGGCGCTTATTTGACTTTAAGGTCTAGAGGGTGGGTGCTTATTCGGGGGAGGGTTCTGATTAGAGCGTGGACGCTTAATCCAGGAAATACAGTTTGTCGATAAACATGAAAAAATGTGTCAGTATATTAACGTGTACGTCGATTCTAATAGCTTATGACGACGTCCCTATCTTTATTCGCGTGTTTCTTCTATTAAAAACTAATTCCAACTCATCATTACAGAATTAAGGTAATTAGTGAGTGATGCAATACCTAACAATAACAATGCTGCAGCCTACTACAGGTTCAAGAGTTTCTTACCCCGTTTTAAATCATTGCTTTTCGAAACTAAACTAAACTAGACTAGACTAGACAAAAAAGAAATAAAACAAAACAAAAAAAAAAGAAATCAAACAAAATAAAACAAAACTAAACTAAACTATACTATACTATACTAAAAAAAAAAAAGAAGAAAACAAAGGAAGAAAACCTGAAAAACGATAAATCTTGATATGCCGATTCAATTTAAAAATAGTGAAATAATAAAACAAAAAAAAAAAAAAAGGAAGCAGATATTGGGTTATTTTCTCTTGGAGATTTAAGGAGAGAGCCTCTGAATGAAGCGCTTGCGGTATTATAAAATTTTATTTTGAACATAACACTTTCATATCAGTCTCCCAAAGTATTCGCGATAATTTGTAAAATAGGATAATTTTCTTACCAACACCAACCACGGCCGGGCAGCGATCGTAGATGTATTTTGTGGCAATATCCCTCACCATCTTGGCGTCAACCATCTACAGAAAGAAGTTAATGCAGATGTAAATCAGCAGCAGTAAAATGAAATCTGTAAATTAAATTTTGACCTGCAGTAGATGAACAAGTAAATAAATGGTCATTGCAGATGGGCTGCGTGAAGATTTTCTCACGGGAACGACGACCCATCAAAATTTTCCTCGCTCTCGACGTGGAGCTTCGTCGCTCAGTTGGTAGAGGCGCCCACCTAAGGAGGCCTGGGTTCGGAACTTGTCGAAGCTCAATTTTTGTTTTCAGCTGAGAAGATCACTTTTTCACTTGTATTTACAAACCGGCACAATCTCCAATTCCTGCAGGACGCCGACGGGTCCTCATGATAAACTTTACTTTTAAGAAAGCTCCCTCTTCCTAACAACACGCCTCTTAGCTTGTGATCATTTCTTTTATTCTCATGACCCTTACATTTAATTCAAGACTGGTACTGTACGGAGAAATTAGAAGCCAATCACTCTTAGGGGCAAAGGGAAATCCAATGATGAACTCACCTCAATTCGTTTGTCGAGCTCAGGGAGGGGAATACGGCGGCCATATGTCAGCATTTGTCTGTGGAATCAACCATAACAATATAATTTAAGTTTAAATTTACGTAAGCTACACAATACTCTCGCCACAGTATAACCGAAAAAACAAAACGAAAATTAAACAGAAATGACTAACCGTCCGATGTCCTCGCAAATCGGAGTCGATCCTATGGAAAGAAAGAAAACTTGTTAAAAAAAAAACCCTGCATAACTTTAATCCTTTTCTTTCCGCCTTACTATGTTTTTAAAGAGAAATACACGAACAAGGATTTATCTCGGGCAGTAAAGGCAACGTTAACACCAGCGCGTCACACGAGGTTACAACTCGGATGCAACTGGCAAATTGTCCACGAAACTACCATTGTGTGAAAAGAGTTAAACATGAATGTGTTGTTATTATACCGAAGGCATTTTTCAATTATTTTGTTTCTTCTTCACTAAGAAAAAAAAAACAACAAAACATACCATCTAGCTGCATTAGAATGTTGGTCTTCAGCAGATTTTTGGCACGAGCCACCTCATGGTCGGTCACACTGGTACAGATACGCATCCTAAACACAGCGAAAATCAGCACAATAAAAACCAAATTTTTTAGTAATACAATGGAATTTTGTCACGAACTTAGAAAACCAAGACATTTTTATCCCTCGTGAGGATTAAAGACCCACACAGTTCCAGTTTTTCGGTTGTTATAAAAGCACATTTCCTACAGCACGAAGGACAGGAAAAATGAATCCTTCAGCAAGGCGCAAGAATTCGAACCCCAGATCTTAAGATTTCGCAATATGCTAGTCTACCAACCAAGGTACAGAGAACTTGACGATGAGCTCAGATTGGTTAAAAGGGACCTGAACAGATGATGGTAAGTCATAGATTTTGTTAGTCTCATGAAAAACACTTATAAACCACGAACACATGATGTGGTCTGTCTGTGGTATCTATATTAAAGGTCGGTGTCATAGGGGTGATAGTAGCTGCTGTTGACAACAAGCCCCGTTTGTCGTTATTTTTCGAGCAGGTAACATTGCCCTTAGATACTTTCTACTGACTTTCATTTTTTCCCGAGAGGACGACGTAAAGGCTCACCATTCTTTTTGAATACAATACGTTGTATCATCAATCTTCATTCTATCAGCAACAAAGTAAACACCCCTGGAATAAAAAACAGAATGTATCTAGCAATGTAGACAGTTACTTGGATGCTCAAACGTCAAAAGGGGTCAAGGAGGGGGTGGGGGTGGGTAGGGTGGGGAAGTTACAGCACTAACCAGAGTCCAGTGTCTGTGTAACATGTGTTGAATGACATGAAGCTGTGAGCCAAGTTATACTCCACCATATCCTGGAAAAAAAAACAGAAAAAAGAATCAAAACAAATAGGGTTTTAGCCACTTATTGGTTTTCACTAAGTTTCAGTTTTCAGTGCAATGCTTGCCAAAATAACAGAGTTTTTCAAACTATACAACATCAATGCATTATTAAATGGATGTATACTGGAAATTGTTTGATTTCTCTCAAAATTCTTTGTGGAATATAACAAGAATGATATTTAGATCATAGTTGCCATCTTACCTGGGCAAGTTTGCTGCTGATGTTTCTACCAGCACTAAATGATCTATCCCAGCTACCAATCAACTACATTAAAAAAGAAAAAAACAGAGGAAACTTTCTAAATGGAAAAAACATGTACAAGAGAAATGGAGACAAGGACTTGTCATTGATATATTTCTTACAATTCTTCAGTAAATTATTTTTCATATTGCAATTTCTTTATTAGCAACTGCGGGCGATCGCAAGAAATCATAATGACAATTCATTCAGATTTATGCTTTTCTTTGGGAGAAATAATGTAAAAAATTTTAACTCACCTTACCTTGTACTTTTCCCAAAAAGCAAATTACATCAAAACTGAGTATTGATTACAATTTTATCACAATATTAGGAATGACACAGTTAAACATGTTCAAGTACAACCTACCATATTGGCAACCATCAGGCCAAAGTAGTCAGGATGAGTCCAGCCACATCCCTCAACGGCAAGAGCTACATGGGCCAATGGCATGTCATCATCACGGACACGAATCTATCATTCAAAAATCTTCATTAATAATTGTATATCAATAACAATTTTTAACCTACATGTGTTAAAAATGATAATAAAGTTGCTGGCAACTAGAATATCGCTGGTCCCCAGAAGTGATGAACTTAAAGCTATGTAAATGATCTTTTAAGTGAACTAGCACTTCACAAAGGAGCATTTTTCATTTGTCTTTTCACTTCACTTAAAAGGGTGATTGTTAATGAGTAGAGAAACTGGCTGTTTTTTTGCATATACAACTGAAGAAAGAAATTTACTATACATTTTCTGGCCACTTAATTGATCCATCTAGTAATTAAAACAAATCTGTTTAATGAGCACTTGCCACCTGTGTGAAAAAGTTTATTTTGGACCATTTTGGGTCTATGCCTCTGTGCCTTATAAATGAATAAAGGTAGTAAGTTTCTAAAGAAACTGTGGTGCTGCATTGCTTGGGGTATTACTAGAAAATTTAGTATTATCTACTATAAAGAGTTTCTAAAGCTGATGTTTGGAGGATTAGCCCTTTATCAGAGCAGAGATACATTGTCGACTCAGTGGATAAAACCATATCATATTGTGCCTGATAAAGTCAACTTACCTCACTGCCTGTGTACCTGCATGGGTTGACCACATCTTGTGATTCATAGGTTGATCTTAAACCGCTGAAATTTTGTTCTGCAAGCTTGACCAGAGCATCATGATCCACACCTAGACCAAGACAAATTCACAGTGAAGAGAAGACAAACAGCTCACAAGACTGCCTCTTTTTATAAATTCACTTCTCCAGACTGAATCAGTGAAAAAAGTATACTGTAAGGAAGAAAGAATTTACCTCCAGCTGCCGCAAGAACCATTCTTGGAGCACTATAGTGTTTGCTGATATATTCTACAAGATCATCACGGGTTATAGTCCTAGAAAATGAGCAAAAAACGTTAACATTACTCTTTCAACACTTAAATCAAAATGAACTCAAACACACCAACATGTTAAAAAGTATCTTTAGTATTAATCCTTTAACCCACAAGAGTGACTGGCTTCCAATTTTTCCTCACAGTATTCCCCTTGAACAAAATGTTGAGGTCATGAGAATAAAGGAAATGATCATTAATTTAGGAATCTCCTGAAAGTCAAACAAACTCTCTGCCTCGGTAACAGAGGAAAGGTCTCGTAAGCGTATATACTGTTACAGTAATGACTATAACATTCCTTCATGTAGCAGGCAGTCTGCTTGTTTAATTTTTTTGTTTTCATTAATCCTTGGTGATGTTACACTTTTTATTTATCTGATTTGATCATTCCTTTTCTTCCTTATTTTCTTTTCAATTATTATTTTACAACCCTGACATAATATTACAAAGCATCACTTTCAATTACCTTTTCCCTCTACAATTTGCTAACATCAATCAACAAAACCTATGCCTGTTACTGACATCACAACTCTAAACAGATCTACTAACAACAGCCTTCTTTATTCACAACACGTCTATAGGCAGGTAAAATAACATTAAAACTATAACAAACACCACGAAACTGAGAAGAGGGTGTGCTTGCTGTTGTAATTTCTTTTGTTTGGATTTGACCCTTTACACCCTAATTTCAATATGCATATTCTTCATACAGTTATGTATACATTTATAAAGTGCTGACAAGGAGAATTTATTTAACAATCAAGAGCTTCTTTAGCTGCTGATCACTGCCATTAGTCTTGTGCTTTAAATGTGTGATCCAGGGGTGATATTGTACAGTGAAATAAGATACTTGTCACTCTTAGAGGGTAAAGGGTCAATAAACTCAATTGAGTTTCCTTACTTGACATTATGAGTTGGCCCAAGAATTGTTCTTCCAAGTGGGGTGCCCTGGTAGGCTGTGGCATGGAGATGATCAAACACCACTTCTTCTAACTGGGTGTCAACTTCCTGCATTTCACGCAGAATCACGCCTCTCTCTCTTTCAATTTCAGCCTCACCCAAAGTTGAATTCTGAATAATGTCAGCCAGGATGTCCACAGCTGAAAAATTTCATGCACATTTGATTACATTTGCATGTAGAAGTTAGAATTTTGAAAAAAAAAAAGTTCAGGTTAAAAAGATTTCAAACTAGTTTGATTTGCTTTCTCCTTTGTTCAAGATACTGTACATTAACCCCATCAATCTGCCATTTTCATTACTGCGTGCATTTCTGGACACAACTGGAACAGACAAGCATGCAAATCTACCTGGTTTTATTTGTAATTTAATTAAGCTACAGCCTTAGATCACAAGATTAGTGACAGATATAAGTTTAAATGATCTTTATTCACTTAGGATTTCTGAAAATAAGAATTCTAATAAGGTGCTAGGCATAATTTAGAATCTTCAAAGCTAATGAAATCAGTCAAATTCTTTCACTTCTAGTGAGAGATCTTAAAAAAATTTTCTTGCACAATATCCCTACAACTACAGACAAAAAGATGAGATAAAGGAAAGAAACATGAACAAGATAGAACAACAGTACAGATCAGCAAATACAGCTCTCATACATGTTGTAAAACACTTCACCTTTAGGAATGTCTTGGCTAAAGACCTTGGCATAATACACAGTCTGTTCACGAGAAGTGTAGGCATTCAAATGAGCTCCCATGTTCTCTACCTCCAGCTCAAGATCCATCTGTGAGCGATTCTTTGTACCCTGAGAGCCAAATTATAAAAAAAATTACTTATAGTCTAAGAAATCTTCCATGTCATAAGGGGTCCCATGATTGTACAAAATATAACACATGGCAAAATATATCTCTTTATATTAGGGCTGGTGAGACTGTCCAGATTTTTGCTTAAACAGGAAGTCCCAAGAAATATTTATTTAGAAGTGTGATGTCTTAATGATGATTATGATAATGAGGCTGGTAATTTTTTCCAATGGTAGACAACTTTTAATTAGTTTCTTCAAAAAATATCAATCCACAAAAACAACAGCAGAAAACATGATAAAGGACTGAGAAATGAAACAGGTTGCAAATTAGATCTGAGGAGAAAAGGAAGGAAGGACAAACCTTAAATGCCATGTGTTCCAAAAAATGTGCTACTCCATTGTTTTTTTCTGTTTCAAATCTACTACCAGCATCTATCCACAAACCCACCTATGAAAATAACATCAAAATGTTTAGATTTCCTTCCCTGATACATACAAAATCATTGTGACCAGTAAATTAACAAAACATGGTAGCTAATCCTTGTATTATTAACCAAGGAAGGAATAATTATGTTAATGTACATGTGGTAAGAATGTAAAACTCCAGAATCAGCTACACAAGATAAAAGATGACTGATCTAAATGGCAATGCTACTGCATGTATGTTCAGAGCCACATGTGGGTAAAGGAGGCAAGCTGATGAGAGCCGTGCCCTTTGTTACAGTCATGCATTGGATAATAAAACTTTTTTCCAAAAACTCTAATAGTGGTTATTGCAAAATTCTTCAGTTCATGATCCTTGAAACTTCCAAGGATCTACATGCAGGATAAATTTCAAATTCATGACTGTCAATTTACACTTGATTGTCACTATTCAGTACATCAGGAAGGAACAAATGAAGTTTTTCCAAACCTAATTCAAATTACCTAGGATCAATTTTGAGTCCTTCAAATACAACTTAAATCTCTGCAAGGTTACATGTCTACTAACAAGTTCTATACAAAAAAATTATCCACATACTGTGGCTGTTGAAAGCCCTGAGTCTTCAGTAGCAACCCTCAAGCCATTGGCAAGTGTGGTAACTTTAGTCTCAGGTACATTGTACAAAGACTGTTGGAGTAGAAAGAAATAAGATCAATTATGCTGATGGAAGAAACTTCCCTTAACAAATAATCAAATGGACATAGAGTAAACTCTGACATACAATTTATGAATACTTCCAAAAATTCTAGAGCACTATTATAAAATCTGGCTGAGGTTCAAAACATTGGCAAAATGATTGATACACGTTGCAAATAAACCTATGTCCTGAACAGAATGATGGAAAATACTTTTAATCTCTCAGTAGACTTAGGAGCTCCACATTTGAGGAAACAATTATATTTCAATAATTAACTTATTTAAGTTGATAAAAAACTGAGTTCTTAAACCCATTCAATACCATGAATCACCAAAAAAAATTATATCTAGCCAAGCAATTCCTTCTCTATACAGAAAGATTACAAGAAAAATCTAAATATTTGATTAATTAATATCAAAATTCTCAGAACTGAAATTATAATAACAGCCTGTAATGCAGTATTGAGAATTGGCCTTTAAATCTGCGGGGTTGGAGGAGAGGAGGGAGGGGGTGGAGGGGTTGAAAGTGACGAGCACTACAGATTCAGTAGACAAACAGGATAACCCTCTTAAAGAGGACTTGTGATCAAAGGATGGATTAATTACGTTTCCAGTTTGTACATTACTTCCTAGAAGATTATACTTAGTTCGTTAAGTAAATAACAAACTCATTCTCGGGGGAAAATATTTTCGGTTTAGTCTAATTTAAAGGTCAGTCAGATAGGCAGGACATACGGATTTACATGTACAGACTCAAACTTTGCTGTATTTCAGTGTAATGTTTAGGAAATAGCACCTTCTTCTCTAGGGAAATGACACATACGAGGATTAAATCACTGATAAATGTTTTTTTATCAAAGAAATGATCACTCACCTGTTCATATGATAGAGCTGTTGATCCGTACCTCTTACAGGCCAATATGCCGGTTTTACCCTGCAAAAGTACAAACAAATTTGAAACTTTTTAAAGCAAAGAAGGAAGTTTTATCCCTTTAAAACCAGAAGTAATCCATAAATATAACTATTTTCATATAAATAACATACTTTGGGCGTTAAAGAAAGAAGATTCGTTAATCTACCGGCATTTTTCAACCCATGACGAAAGGCGATTGGAGACGCCATGTTGAATCGTAGCGAAGAGTACAGATCTGATAGGGAGAGGTATGGGTATGAAATTATTCTGAGCATATATTTTCTTGGTGAAACGCTGACACTCCAGTTGACGGGCTCTAGGAAACTTGCACACTCATAGTTAATAAGCTCCTTTGGACTGAAATTTTCACGAAAAATTTGTTGGTTCTACCACGATTTGCGCTGCTTTGTGTAAATTTCACTCTTTGAATACTGTAAGTACCTAGAATCATGAAGACATGAGACTGGCATCGCTTCATTTTGTTCTAAAAAAAGCTAACCTCGACTATGTTGTTTGACAGTTTAGAATTAAGAAACCTCGTGGCCTTGATACTTAATATCAAGAATCATTTGAAGAATTGATAATGTTTCTCACAAGATCAGAGTACGACAGGTTAGTGTATTTTCTTAATTACGTCGAAAATGGCCACAGGATTGTTTGAGGGAAAATTAAATTTTATGTAGAGATCTACAGACGAAGGTGTCTGAGATACTTAATTGGCTTGGTGCCTTAGAGTATATGGTTCGAATCTTTAAATTAAAGCTTGATTGTGTTTGGAAGCGATCGTTCGTGTGAGAGTAATCCTGAAAAGATGTATTCTTGATTTCAACGATTAGTGTTTCACCAAAGTGAGTAGAAGTCTGCATGTGAATCCACCCGTGTTCTGGAAAAGTACAATGTACGTGTTGGTCACTCCAACAGCAAGAGTAATTTACATGACTGACGCTACTCAGGCAATATTATTGTAGACTGTTTCACATTTGTATTTTAAGCTACACATGGTTTGGGGAATGGTATCAAGGAAAAACGATGGGTTTCACAAAAGTCTCATCTGATCTTGTAATCATGTCAGCTGTTGCATTGCAATCTTTGGGATAAGTGTAGAACTCTTGCATTCTTTTCAAAGTTCACAAGTTCTGAAAAATTTTTACTTGTTGCTAAGGGTATAGAGTTAGAATAGCTAGGAATTATTCATTGTTAGTGACAAAAGTCTTAGTATAATTGTTGCTCTTTGAAAATTTAGCTGATGTATTGCAAAAACAGAAGAAAAAGAGTGACTTGAAACCCTAACACCACATTTTCCTGTAATTCATTGTACCTTTTAACACCTTGAATGAAGGGCTCATAATTATGAGTAGATAGGCGGTAAAAATTGATAAGTCTCAATCTCTGACTTTTCAAACATTGGTCTGCCTCTTGAGAATCTGAGATTTTACCATTTGCCAGCTCATATATGCAAAGGGGTAAGAGGCAATAAATACTGTTAATGTAAATATTTTTTTTTAGAGGTGTCAACACCTTTTCACCAGAGGGTCGTCTCTTTCAAGTGGAATATGCAATAGAAGCCATAAAAGTAAGCCATGACCTTTTTGCACCCAAATATCAGCATGCATATTCTCCATACTGTTCTCTATACATTTCTTAGGGTGCTGACAAGGAGAATTTGTTTAACAATCAGTAAGCTCTTTACCTGGAAATCATCAATTCTATTTTTATCAACTTAATGTTTGATTTAGTAGAGATTCTGTACAGAGAAATTAGATGTCAGTTACTCTTAGAGGTTGAAAGATTAATTCTGTCTGTCAGCCTGTCTATCTGTCTAACTGATTGACTGAATGTCTACAAGCCAACCAGCTGATCATTCAAAATTTGTCTATTTTGTCTGTCAATCTGTCAATAGAGAGCTTAAAGCTTTTCTTTTTGAATATACAGCTTGGATCAACTGCTATTGGGATACAGACATCAGAGGGTGTTGTGCTTGCTGTGGAAAAACGGATCACCTCCCCACTAATGGAACCAACCAGTGTTGAAAAAATTGTGGAAATTGACAGTCATATAGGTAATTAAAATTATATTCACAGCATCTGGTAAAACATTCAGAGAATAAAAATCAAGGTCACGTGTTATTCTATTCAGAAGCCTTATACTATCTTTTACCAGTATGTTAATGAAATATGAATGCAAGTCTATCATTCTAAATATCCCAGTCAGCTTGACAGATTTCTCCTGCCTGCAATAAGTATAGGTAACAACATGATTTCAAGTACAATTCGGTGTTAATAAGCACAAGTATGTTTTTTCAAAGACAACAGAATTGCAGAAGCCAGTAGGGCAAGTGTAATTTGAATTCTTTGAAATATTTACAAGTGCCTATTTACACCAAATTGGACTCAAAATCATTTTGTTACTTGTTAATAATTTACTCAAAAAACGCATCTCAGAAAGTCAAGAAGTATAAAATTTTGGCAGTGTGTGGATGCTCAGTGTGCACACACTGCCAAAATTTTACAATCCTTTACACCTCAAGATTATTTGTACTTGTGTTATGACTTTAAGCATGTGTTACATGAAAAATAAATTTGTTTATAGTCAATCTGGCGCATGTAATTTTTTCATGTGTATTGTTTAGTTTGATTATTTGATGCAGGCAAATGATTGATGCTGATATGCTGCATGACCTGCTATGTTGTAACTGCAAACTGCAAACTTGTGGGAGACAGCCAAAACTTTGTTCTGCTACATGATAGGATGGAATATTCTTAAAAGAGTTTTTGTTAAATGATTTTTCTCCTGTTTTTTTTCTTTTAGATATAACATACATATCTACTTCTGTCTTCATTCTTAGGTTGTGCTATGAGTGGGCTAATTGCTGATTCCCGAACAATGGTGGACAAAGCAAGAGTGGAAGCACAGGTAAACTGAGTCATTTGGGGAAAGGGTTTGTTATAGAAAGACATAAAATTTGAGATTGGTGATTGATATATGCAATCAGGACTTCACAATATTATTGTGATGATCATACATTATTTTGAAAAAGGCTTCTTGATAAGTATTCAGCATAGAACGATGTAGTGGCTAGAAATAATGAATTACATGTAGATTCAGGACAAAAAAGAAGGCACAAGTTTATCATTATGTGGGTGGTAGCCATCCTTAATTCAAGATAAGAAAGGGTCCTGTTTCAGTAACCTTGCCCTTAAGATAAGAGTGCTAACCTTGCCTGCATAAAGTACTGAACAGTATGTTATGCTTATCTGAAGTTTTGGTTCCTACAGAGTATCTGTAAAGAGATGGCTATTAAATTGTCTTATTTCATGGCTTTCAAACACATAAGTTACAGAAATAATGCATATCCTTAGGTTGTTAAGGGCAAGTAGATTTCCCTTATATATGAATTACCTTGTGTGCTCACTTGTGTTCTAGGAAAGTCCCTTTTATTAATTTTCCTTATGATTGCATGTGGATGTTGTTGGTTTTTTTTACAACAATTGTAGAATCACTGGTTCACTTATAATGAGAAGATGAGTGTGGAAAGTGTCACACAAGCTGTATCAAACCTTGCACTTGAGTTTGGAGATGACGATGCCAGAGAAGGAGCAATGGTAAGGAAGTCTGCTCCCTTTTTTTAAAGTCAAACAATTTTATCAAGTGCCTTTATAAGTGAGTGAAGCTCCATGATCAATGATGAAGTGTATATGGGGTCTTCCACTGCTACCAAATAAATCTATGATAGGAAATGCTTGCAAGACAGGGATTGCTTCTATAGCTACATGTAGTAACTCCAGCAACAAAGCAATGATTGACTGCTATAGGCACCATTTATGATGATGAGCATGTGACTCTGTTTTCTCATAAACTTTCCAATAAGGAAGAAGAGAAACATCTGTTTTACAGGATAAAGACAAAGCCTGCACTGTTTTGAAGTACCTTGACCATAATAAATGAAACACTCTGCTCAAACTATACTTTGCAATGCATCTTTATCTTATGAATTTTTACTAAATTTCATTTGATTAGCATATAAAGTAAATTAAACTAATTTTTTTCTTTCTCCAGAGTCGTCCATTTGGTGTAGCTTTGCTATTTGGAGGAGTAGATGCCAAAGGCCCTCAACTGTAAGAATTTTAACCCTTTACACCTTAACATCAGTATGCATATTCTCCATAATGTTCTCTATAAATTTCCTATTGTACTTTCAAGGAGAATTTGTCTAACAATCAAGAACTTCTTGAGTTTGTAATATTTTTCATAAACCTCATAGCATTAATGTTTGACTCAGGTGTTGGGAGAAATTAGATTCTTATCACTTATAAAGGTGAAAGAGTTACACAAAACCTGATTTGGTCATTTCCTTAATTGTCAACAACTGGTTAATTTTTTCAGGGTACACACATGCATAATTTCCATCCTTGTTCAAAATTTATATACTGCTATGGAATATGAGAAGGAAAAATTCTGACAGATTTTCTTGATTCAATTGATGCTCAATGATAAAGCAACATGAGTACTAATGGAGAGGTCATAGACTCAACACGAGAAAGTTTCCAAGTATTCTCTGGTCACTAAATAAAGAAGTTCATCCTTAAAAAAATAATTTTTCTTGTACTCTTCCCTCTTCCTTCTATCAGTGGGGTGACACCACTCCACAGGGTAGTCAAATTTTAAAAATAATCATAACTAGCCATTATAATAATTATTATTATCTTCTTTTTTTTTAGTTATCACTTGGACCCCTCTGGGACATTTTTCCAATATGATGCAAAAGCCATAGGTACAAACTGAATGAAGGTTGAAGATATGTCAATAATATTATATAATGAACCAAATTATGCACATATTTTGATTGGTCCTTACTTATGTTTGGAAGACAAATGTTTAAATTACTTTACAGTTAACAAAATTTTGGGTTTTTTCACATAAAACAATTGAAATGGATTCTATGTTGCCATGGTTCTGTTGAGTTACAGATCCCATAGGACATAAAAATGTGGTAAGAACAGCAGTAACACACCTGTCTTCCCCTCATGTGTCACTTTGGTGTTTTTATCACATTTTGATGTCATCTGTGATCTGTTACTGAACAAATACGTACATGTAGCAACATGGATTGTATCTAATAAATCTATCTTCCACTGGCTAAGAGTGGATTGGAGATTCTCTAATCATTTGGTGTATCACCAGATTTATAACAGGGTAATCTGATATTATCAACTGAGTTAATAAAATTGGCCACCATTAAGGGTTTCAAAGCTTAAGGTTTAAGTTTGACCCTTCGTCAGAGCAAATGGCGAAGAGCATCTGACAAAGGGCTGGCACTTGAAACATCAGCTTTGAAACTCTTTACGGTGGCCAATTTATGTTATCAACTCAGTTGATAATACCTAATTACCCTGTTATACTCTCCCACTGATGCAGCACCACAGTTTCTATAGAAACTTACCCCTTTATCACCACATTTAGTTTATCTCATAATCTGGATTATTTAATCACAGGTTCTGGGTCAGAAGGAGCACAACAAGCTCTAGAAGAAGTTTATGACAAGGTAAAAAATTTTAAAATGTCTCAACAGGCCGTAAATTCTTTGATTATCACTGACAGTGGTTATTATCAAACTTGTTGTTGGTATACTACTGGCTTTGCATAACTAACTTGTAGAGAAGTAAATCTTAAAATTTCCTGGTTTGCTTTGTACAGTCTCATATGTTTCTTATCTTCTTGTATCTTGTTGCAGTCCATGACACTGAGAGGAGCTTGTAAATCAGCTCTAACAATACTCAAACAAGTTATGGAGGAAAAACTCAATGCTACAAATGTAGAGGTTAGATATTTTGATGTTGTAATGTAGCAAATTTAATTAGTGGGAAGTGGCAAGGATTTGGTGATTGATTGATTGTTTGAAAGGTTTCCTGATTTCAAGAGTTAATGTTTGAATAAATGAATGGAATAATGGATGGATGAATAAATAAATGAGAACAGGAAAGAGGAAAGTGGCTGGTGGACTGACTGACTGGCTGACATACTTTCCACACAAAATAGCTTTACAAGGCCATTGTGATGATTAGACTTGCACAGCTAACACTAATTTGTTGTTTACAGCTTGGAACCTCAACACCAGACAGAAAATTCCGGATGTTTACTAAAGAGGAGATTGAGACACTTGTACAAGAAATAAAATAACTGCAACTTCAAGCCAATGAAAAATTACTTTGTTTAGGTCACCCAGTACTCTCTGGCACTTAGTGTTTGTTCATAATAAAGTGGATTGGTGTTAATATAAATTGTCTGAATTGTTGTTTCAAATTGGGAGAAAGGGGTGTTTATAGAATGACAGGCTTCCTTGAACTGACTTGTGAATGTAGCAGACTGTCACACATGAGCAAGAAGTCAGATGGGTATATATGCATGTTTGTTTTGCAAAAGACATATTTACACAGTTATAAAGGCTCATTGTGTGAGCTTGGGTTACCTGTGGCTAGAGGAAGCACTATCATGGGTGTGTCTGTTACTTGCATATCCATTAACATCAGCCATGCTGCATTAGTCCATAGCAGTAACAAATGGATGAGTTTACAAATCTGTTGTCTGTAGATTTTGGAATATTTCAAGAGTTCTTGAGGGATTTTTAGAGGAAAAAATTAGGAATTTCTACATTACTTTTGGTAGCAGTTTTTTGGATTTTGGTGTATCAGCCAGCATATAGTATCAGAAGGCTTGGACCCATAATGTAGACTTCTGAAGCCTCACACAAACATTGTGACAGTTTTTTAAATTTTTTTATTTTGAGCCAATGTATCATAGAACTTCTCCTCTCAAGTGGGAGGCAGCTGTGTAAACTTATTTGAAAAAACTGCAAGAGCAGACATTAACTCAGAGCTGTTGTCAAAATAATGTTATTGTCTTGTAAAATGGTATTTTATTTCTCATTTTACAGTTTTCCATTTCTTTTTCATTTTTAATTTTGTGTGTCTTGCCTACCTTGAGTTTCTGCATCTTTAGTGTTTAAAAGCTGTAAAATGAAAGCTGTAAGATATACATGTATGTACTTTAAAAAAATAATTCTTTAACCAGAGAAAGCTTGTTATGAAAACACCAATTTCAACCCCAGTTCTTCATCTGTTTATGAAGAGTATATAAAATAAAACTAATACTTTACTGTATATACTATATGTCTACATATACTATCTAACAAAACTATTAACAATTCTATAATATTCACTAAATAGCATATGTGTTGTTGTTTTAATTCAAAAGTTTCCACATAAGAAATATTTGATACTATTTCCCTTTTTTCCATAATCTTGAAAAAAACGTCTCAACTGGTTTGAAAAATTTGAACTATCAAATAGACACTGTAGATAAAATACTGTCGAAGGACTAATAATATTACTATATATGGATGAAAAGGAATAAGTATGCAACACTGGCATTTTTTCTACTTATTTAATCACTCTCCTGTGACCTTCTAACAACTTTAGTTTCACCATGTTTAATGGTATGAAACTCAGCCCGAGGAATACCTTTCATGTCTAATGTTTCAATTAACTTTCTTGGTGGGTCCAGATAATGCTACATGTGGAAAAAAAAAGAAAGAGAAATGGTCAAATACCCTGCAAAACATGGAAAAACATGGGCTCTTGTTCAAGGAAATATGGCTAAATGTTTTTTAATTAATTCCAATGCAAAGACTGAAACAGTAAAGAAATTATATATTTCTAACACTCGCCTCATATGATAAATTAAATGTACCCCAATGAATTGCAACAGAAGAGTTAGATTTAATATCTTGGTGAATCTCTACAGCTTCCTGTGGGTTAACATGCTGGAAAGACATCAATCCCCTGTTTAAAAACAAAAGAAGCATCTGTGCTGAGTACAACAGGATAATTTTGGTTTTATCAACTGAGTTGATAATGTAAATTGGCCACCGCAAAATGTTTCAAAGCTGACATCTTGGGCATTAGCCCTTTCATCAGAGCAAATGATGAAGGGCTAATGCTTGAAATGTTAGCTTTGAAACATTTTGCAGTGGCTTATTTACATTTTAAACTCAGTTGATAAAACCAAAATTATCTTGTTTTACTCCCAAAGAAGCAGGAGCACAGTTTCTTTAGAAACTTACCCCTTTATTCATTTGTTTATTTATTTGTTTAATCACATCTATCGTTTACCCCTCTATGACACCAGCACTGCACTGGTCAAAAGTGAAAGCAAACTTCACTGATTCATTTCTCAGCACCTTTTCAATTAAGGTTTTCATTTATCCCTGATGAAATCTTCTATGACCAAAGAATGGGTCTCACTATGGCAGACTGACAACAAAGTGTCCATTTTACCCCTTTTAAGAGGTTTTATCCCTTACCTTGGTTCATATGCTCCAATAGGGATAGCTGCCAGATCAAATGGACCATATCGCTTGCCTATTTGTTTAAATATGTGACAGTAACCAGAATCACCAGCAAAGAAAAATCTGTGTTGTGGACCAATGATTGACCAACTTCCCCAAAGAACCTCATTTGTATCATTTAGTCCTCTGCGGCACCAGTGTTGTGCTGGAGTAAATGCAAACTTCACTGCCTTTTCATCTTTTGTGAAGTTTGGGTGAGACAGTTCATCCCACCATTCCAGTTCAAAAACATTATTACAACCACAATTTTTCATCCATGGGCGAAGTCCCATAGGCACATACCAGAGGAGTTTATGGCCAAACCTCTTGTTCAGGTTACACACTGAGTTGTAATCAAGGTGATCATAGTGATTATGGCTGATACACACAGCATCAATTTCAGGAAGTTCACCAACAGTGCAAGGAGCAGGGCGATATCTTTTGACTCCAAATCCCTGAACAGCACCACAATAATCACTAAATACTGGATCTATAAGGATGTTAAGTCCTTCCATTTGGACTAAAACAGTTGCATGTCCAATCCAAGTAAGCTGAATGCTATTAGATGCTGGAGATTCTAATCTTGCTTTGTCTGGTTTGAGAACTGGGAGGGTCCTGTCCAGTTTCTAGATAATAAATTTAAATATATTTGGTTAAACCAGCAGAAAATCAGTATTCAACCTTTTAAGGCCTAAGAGATTCATAAGCATCAAATTTCTTGTCACAACATCAAGACATTATCACAAGTAAAGGTCATTGGACTCAAGGAAATAATCATGAAAGGATAACTTTGTTAACCTCAAAAGATTTCTCACTGAAAGGAAGAGTATGTTCCTGAATGAACAAACTTTTAAATTGACTTATAAACAAAGATGTTCAAGGAGATATTTACAACTTACAGCTGACATTTCAAGCACCTAGCCCTTTTCTCAGAGTGAATGATCATTGCTGTTTACTCAGGAATTTGAGGGGGAGGGGGGCAGTTGTACAAGAGTTCTCCTTGTTATTCAGCTTCTTGTATATATGAAATACAGCATTATCTTTTCAGCCTCAATCCTGGCCTGGCTGGTGGAGACCCTCATCAAAAAACACTACTTCACACACAAAAAAAGAGGTTTTATCTAGCATACTAAAGATTCAAAATTTAATATTTTAAGATAATGACACTTAGTGAACCTTATCATCAAACTGGAAAAAATCTTTCAGTCCTCCTCCTGGTACACTGCTGTTATTAGGAGACCCCAAAAACCATTGAGCAGCAACAAGCATTGAGGGCAATCGTGACCCACTCCATGGAAGAACAAATCTTCCATTCACTTTCTTGGCTTTAGGATACTCTGTGCTATCATAAAAAAGCTTGGCATTTTCTCTTTCTGTTGATGTTGCTGTGGTCTTTTGTCTGTTAAAACAAGTTTAACCTGTTACAGGGGTGTGAATTGGCAGAGCCTGTATGACACAAGACTATCATTGACTTGGACAACTTTTTAACCCCTTACACCCTAACATCAGTAAGCAAATTCTCCCTACTATTCTCTATACATTTTATACAAAGTCAACAAGGAGAAATTGATTAAAAATAAAGAGTGTCTTTAGTTGGTGATCATTTCATTTATTCTCGTGACCTCAATATTTGCTTCACGGGTGATATTGTGGAGAGAAATTAGATGCTCATCACTATGGGGTCAAAAGCTTAATTGTCCTCTCTAGAAGCTCCTAAGTAATGGGCTTCCTAGATCTCTGAGACATGATAATCGCGGAATAAAAATGTTAAATCTATCGATATTCCGGTTATACAGTCACAACTTACAGCACACTTAAATCAATATTTACATCACTCAATAACTATATTTCACTGACAACATTAATACCGGTATCCATAGTAAACATACGGTCATGCAGTCGTGTCGATCTATTCCCATGATGAACGCATTCTTAAAGATACGACACAACAGCATACACTGATTAGTGTCTTTACCCTGCCTGCTTTCGTCACTGTTCAAAGGAGCAACAGTTCGTCTTACGTCATACAAGTCTTTGCAAAAAGAGTACAAGCAACTCAGGTGTTTGTATATTACCTTCCGTGGAGAGAGATTCCCTCAGAGCTTCTGATAACGGCGGAGCGAATCAAATCTGTATTTTGAAAGTGTAAGAAATCTCTTCTACCGAGCTTCCGCAGCATACTTGAGTCAGACAAATCAACTTATAAAATGTGGTTCCATAAATCTAGCAATCCCGACCGCCATCTTGAAAGTGAACGGCCGAAGGGCCTGGAGTTGAAAATTTCGCCGGAGTGTTCCCAGGTTCCACTCGGTAAAAATTTGGGAAGTAGAGAAAAAAAGAGGCGAAAAATAAGTGGGAGGTAATAAGATGGCCTAAAAATAGAAAAAGAAGAATGATGAAATTTGGACAAAGTATATCTTGGGAAATGGATTTTTACTCACCTAAATTTTTCCATCTCTGGCCCCTTTGCTTTCCGAGACCCATCTAGCAGGAATTGTCAAGAATGGTATTAAACTTCTGTCACACTGGTTTTGCTCCCAGCAGTGGTCTTTGCAAAGAGAGACATGCTGCTTGTTGAAAAGGTGTTGGTGTAAAACAATTTGTTTCTTTATAAAACAGTAATTAGTACAGCCAATGGGGAAAAAGACTTTATAAGTCAGTTAGAATTCAAAAGAGAAACAAGTTGTGTGTACTTAGTGTGTAAAAATGCTAATGATCCAGTCTAGCTAGTTTGAATTTGCAGTTTTTTCATTTGGCTTTTAGTTGTGGGGATGACCTGCAGCATTCAAAGCATAAATTAATTTATCTTTAAGTAATCTCAATAAGAAAAATGCATTCATCAATCTGCCTAGCTTGGGTTGGTAAGAAACTTTATTAAGCATCACATAACACTAC